GGCCCCGGTGGCAGGGTGCCACGCCCCTCGGGGCGGCCAAGGCCTGGGGGGGCGGCGGCCTGGTCGGGCTCGGTGTCCCGGCCGGCGGAGCTCGCCCTGCGGCCTTGCGGCCCGCCCGCCGCCCCGGGTGCCGAAGCTGGTCGGGCGGCCGGTGGGGCGAGCCCCGGGGCGGTCGGTGCTGCAGGGTTTCCCTGCTTCCCTGCCTCCCGTTCTCGTGCTGCCCTTCATGCCATCACGGCTGCCGTAGTGGCCTCTCTAGTGTTACGTTTCCAGAGAGAAAACGTGCCGGTCCTTGATAAGCTGTCCTTTCAAAATGTCATTTTAACAGCTTAAACTCTTGCCAGTATCGTTAGTGTTCCCTCCCTCTCCTCCAGCTGTAAGTGAAAGGTTTAGCCCAAAGTGTTTTATAAAATACTTTTGAGATGGGAAATAAATAATAGTTTGGCTCACTGACTTCTGAAGTCAAATTTTCTAGCTTCCCACGAAATCCATTAAAAATTTTATTTTTTGTCTCATTTAGGCTATTGAAGAAGAAGGAGGTGATCCAGATAATATTGAAATAACTGTTTCAGCTGACACACCCACCAAGAAACCAACTAAAGGCAAAGGTTAAGATTCATTGATATATATTACATTTTTAAGGACTTTTGTTACATATATCACCTTAAAGAAAGAGTAACTGTGGCCTGTAGTTCGGATACAGTTGTGACTTTACTGCTTATGACTTCTGTCACGTAAGGCATCTTTTGCCTTACTCATCTGTTCTCAGGCAACGTATGGGGATGCTGGATGTATATGGAAAATGTGTGGGTTAAGAGATGTGTTGTGAAGTAGAGGCTGTACTGCCTGCAGATCCTGGAAACTTGTGCGATGTGTGCTGAGGCTGTGCAAATGATCTGTAAGATTTTTAGAGTGTTTTGTGTTAACAGAGGTCCTGAATATGGAGTGTTAGAGGTGCAAAGGAGGTGCAGGGACTGCCCCACAGCTCTGTGGCTGGGTATCTCTGCAGAGGCAAAAGTATCTGTGCAATAGCACAGGGGGAACTGAGAGGTTGTTTATTCAAGAGAAGGTGCTGGACCTAAGCTAGTGATGAGTGTACAATAGTATGTGGTAGGGGGTCACTGCCTGAAGAGGACTGTGTTGTGTGAGTTTATCAGTATGTTTTTTACTGAAAGTGGGATATATAAATACAAATTTCCTGAATGGGTTCTGAAGGCTCACTGTGAAACGTCTAATTAAGAGATTTTGGTTTTTTTCTGTTGTGAAAAATAATTGCTTAGATTCTAAACCAATCTGTTTGGCAGTGATTGTGTTGGCTCTGTTTTCTTTTGTATAAGTATTTAAATATTGTTTTGTGAGTTTGGGTTCTGGGGGTTTTTTGTTTGGGTTTTTGTTTTCTGTTGTTCTGGGAGCATCCATAATGAAGTAACACTGGGAAAGAAATGTCTGGTTTATGCAGAGCATTCTTCATTGAACGTACGTGCTAAGGATGTTCATACATGTGCTCTAGATAGCTGTTTTGGAAATGATCAATCTTGGACCACTGTGAGTTGCCTTAGGCTGAGTTTTGCGGTAAAAGTGGTTATTCATGCTTTCGGCTGATGCTGTGAATGGGAAATTTAATAATAAAATCTATCTGCTTAGAAAGTTTGAGTAACATCTGTGCTTTTCACGCACTAGAAAAGTAAAAGGAAATAAGCTGTTTCACAATACGCTTTTACTTTCATCTGTGACATTACTTTATTCCCTACTCTGGAAAGGTAGCTGAGGTTGAAGAAAACTACTTGGAAGCTAAATAAGGAAACGCTTCCCTGTTTTTTCGTGTAGAAATCTAAATGGTTTCTTGTTCTGCTGTGATGAACGCTTCTCTTATCTGCTGCTTTTCATCCTCCTATTCTCCAAACTAAGGTCATGATATGCATAATATTCTTCAGCTGGCTTCTTGTATAGTTACACTGTTTTGCTTCTGCAAAAGCAGTTTGCCCACTAGCGATGCTGCTGCCGGAGGCAGGGCTTCAGAGCTGTTCCCTGCCACCTCTTCAGTGGAACTGAATTGTAAGGCGTATGTATGACATGTACGTTCTTGGTAAACCTCAAAGTAAAATACAACCTTCACAAAGTTCTTATCTGCTTGCTCTGCAAGCTCAGGAGTTTTTCCTCATTACTTTTTGGATTACAAGTCTTAGGAGCAAATTTTGTGCCAGAAGTATGAGAGGTTCATGCTTTATTAATCTAAAAGTGTGGAACAAGAAAAACTCACTGATTTGTGTAGGGAAAATAATTTTTTATCTTATTGGTGTGCTTCTAACTGTAAGAAAGAATATAGTCTTTCTTTTTAACTATTCCTTTTATGTGTTAGCTGCTGATTCTGATCTTACCTCCCTCTCTGGTGGTTTCTGCTGAAACACGTTACTAGTAGTCAGAAAATATTCCTCAAAACTTGGAAATCTAGCACTTCAAAAATCCATTCTCTCTGTGTCACTAGGGAACTTTCAAAGGCGTGTGGGATATATATGCCCATCACCTGAATTCAGCAGGACTGAGTTTTCATCTAAAATTAACTCCCTCGATCCTCCTTGTGCTTGTACATGCCCTTCGCTCTGCGCAGAGTTGCCTCCTCCGCTGGTTTTGCCAACAGATTGCTCTAGGCCTTTTACTAATGCTTGCTTCCCCTCCGCCCCACAGCTTCAGACTAATACTAATCAGTCTTTAATTATTTTGCTGTTGTTCAGTGGTAAAATTAACAGCGCTACTAGTCCTGTAGTATTTTTTTCCCTATGTTATTATTGCTGTACAGAGGAGGTTTGGAGTATTAGATTTTTGTTGGAGTTCGGAAGAAAGTGCAGCCTCAGAAAAGGCCAGGGAGTGGGAGTAATGGATAAACCTCCTTACAGCAGCCAGAAAGAGGTGAATGGGAGGGAGGAAGAAGGTTTCTCTTCTGAAAAATCACAGACACGGGCAGCTAGCTATCGGTTTTAGATCTGAATGTTTTTTGTAGCTGGTTTTACTGCAACTCTTAAGGTCTTTGGAAAAGGTGAAATGTTTAATTCCCTAGTGTGCCTGTTGGAAGGACCTGATCTGGAATATTTATGCAGGCTGAATTGGAGGGATTCCTCCTCTAATATGTGTGTGTTAGTGACATATTTGTTTTCCCTCACTGCTTTTTTTTTTGTGTGTGTTTGTATCTTGACAAAAATGGAGGCAGATAGGAATGAGGTTAAGGGTGGGACTTACTTTCATAGAACAGGATTTTGTAATCGCCTGAGAAATTGATTTATCAACTGAGTATGTACTGCAACTGACAACTCAGTTGTCAAAAGTTGTACTTTTGACAACAACGATACAAAGCCAACTTGATATGTGATATGGAAGAAACATCTGTAAAACACTGAGTAGAAGAATAAGGCCTTGACGAAACTGGTTTGAATACAGACCTTCTTTGTCTCTTCAAACAAACTGCACCTTGCCAGTGTCCCACACCAAGTTCTGCAGCATAAGATGCTGTGTGAAAAAGGAGTCATATTTAAAATTGGGCATTTACTGACTTGCCTAAAATTGAGATAACACAGAGGGAGCCATGTAGATCTTCATCAGGAAAGTTAAAGAATGCTTGCAGAAGGATTCTGTAATCCAGTGAGAATCCCCGGTCAATCCTATATGCAAAGTTAGTCAAAATCTACCACTTTTTCCAGAAGCTATTTTAGTTAAATATTTGGGGTAAAGAACTGCAGAACAGTTAATCAGAAGAGCTGTATAGGCGAGATCCGTTGGTTTTGCAATTAAAGTTTGAAAGATTAAAGACGGAACAAATACCAAGTCCTCCATTCTGTAATTGCCTCAGCTGTGCCTCTCCACCCTGGAATTTAGTATCTATGGATGAATTTTTCTTTCTGTACAAAGACGACGGTTTTCAGAAAAAGCTGTTCTTTTCAAGCCTGAACAGTCTGCTGCTTATTCTGCTATCCAGAGAAAGTTGCTTTTCTGCTGGTTTGAGATATTTTTCAAATGTTTCTGAGGTGAACATTCTTTTGAAGTATGTGTGGTCAAAGATATTCAGGCATATTGATACATCATAACTTGGTGATTGAAAGTTATTTTTTCTGCCAAGTGAATGAAGAACAGGTTTTAGGCTAATCAGTTTTAACCTCAGAGTATTAATGTGAGAAAAGATGTCTATTTGCTGCTCTTCAAGTTTTTAAGGTCTAAGATACTTTATATCTTAAGTACCCCTCTATTTCCAATTTGACCCCTGAATTTCCAATTTGACAATACTATTTCTTAGATCAAATGCTGACAACTGACAGTGGCTGGCTTATACTGTTGCCCAAATAATTTAACTTCTTTAGTTACTTAAAAAATCAACCTAAGTTGTATGCTGTTGAACTTCAAAAGGAGAGTGGAGTGAGGAAAATAATCTGTCATGGTGTCATCTGTCCTTCAGGAATATTAGAGTAACTGTTTTAACAAACTGTCAGTTCATTATTTCTTCGTCTGTCTGAGTTGTTAACACCAATTACTATAGTTCTGTGATTTGATTTCTGAAATGCTGCTGCGCAGCAAGCTTCCCCAGAGGTAGATCAGAGTTGTCTTGCCCAGTGAATTATTGTTGCAGAGAGATAGGGATTCTCAACTGCACTGAAAATAGGTGTCTTATGTCACGTATATAACATGGTCGTAATCCGTGGGATGCTAGTACAAATGCCTTGATTTTAATTTTGAATAATGTGAGCTTTCAGTTTTTTCTAAATAAGTATTTTTGTGGACCTGCCTTTAAAAATTATTTTATTTTTTTTAAGGCAAGCAGGCTGCTCCTTTTTTCTGCTTCTCGGTGGCTGGTTCTGTTGATCTGCTTTGCAGTTGCTGAATAAAATAGTAAAGATTGAAAAGTGACTTCCCCGAACGTTCTTGGGGTCTCCCTTGCACACAAAGCTGTTGCACAACTATTTACTGTTACAAGGCATATATGTCTTAATTACAAAGTAGGTATCTGATAAGTGTTGTTCAATCACTCTATATATCTCTGCAAACTTTTAAGTATTTCTGTCAGAGTAGGGTCTCAACAGTTGTTTTAATCTTTTCTCGAGTGTTTTACTCAAGATAGAATACACTATAAGGAAATAAATTTTCGCCTCTTTTGAGGAAAGATGTATGTAAGTTATTTGTAAAGAGAACATTCCTTTTAAACTAGACTTTCTTCTTGCATGTTAATGAGTAGATAAGGCATGGAATAGAATCTTTCTTTGGAGGGAGGGAATTACTAAGCTAAAATACCTGAATTCAGAAGGTATTTTAAGTTGTAATTGATGCTTGAAAAAAGCCGAACACATGCAGATTCAACCTAACAGCAGTATCCTGCAGACACTGTAGAAGACTTCTAAGAATACAGAAATGTAACAGAATAATTTACTTTTGTTAATATTGTGACAAATGATACTACTCAAATTTCAGCAGACCTCTTAGGTAAATAAGGCTATAAAGAGTTTATTCCATTGTAAAGATTTTCTTTCCCTTTCCTCATTTTTGCTTCCTGTCCTGTGTTTTTGATGAATCTTTAGCATCAGGTACGACGGAACCCTCTTGGGGGTTTCAGCAGGAGTATAAGAAATGCAAACACTGATTCTTCCAAAATTTCATAAGTGTTGCTCTACTTCTGCATGAGATGCAGATGTCTAGTTTGTTTAAGACTTGTCTAAAACACTCTTCTATAATTCTGTATACACTCAAGTAGCCTGAATTTCTCATGTAGAGGACCACAAATAGCTTGTGGTACTGTAAGACTTGTAAATGAGATGAAAACTAAACATGCATAATGTTAAACCAACATTTTAAAGATGTTCTAAATCTTCTGCTTACTTCTAAGGAGAATATTCATTTTGTAAATAGTCCATTGCAATTTTATGGTGTGTAGCCATTGCCAGAAAAGGGATTAAGCATGGTTTATAAAGGAGTGCCATCATTCCAAGGTGAGATAGTATTTGTGGTGTTAGGCACCCAGGCTTGTGATGGATGCTGCTTACACCACTGACATATTCAATAGCCACTGCATGGATAAACCTATATATAAATTTTATCATGTGTTGACAACTTATATGACCTGAGACCTACTGTGCCTGTTGTCTGCACAAGGTCCAGTTGTTCCGACTGTAATTGTTCACATAACTTTTAATCCCAGTTACTTTCCTCAAAATGAGATGGGTCTTGAATAAGTGCACAGAAACAGTCATTTTCTGAAAGATATTTGTTGCAGTCTGACTTCCGTTGTATGAGATTGGAGCCAAGTGTGCCTTTCAGTAGCTCATTGTGGATGAGTATCAATGTGGAAAAGTTGAATTTTTGTGGATATTGGCTTTTTGGTACTGTACCAACATCTGAAAACTATCTGTATCTGAACCTTGAAGTGCCACTTTTGAGCACTGAGAGTTTAACCAGATCAAAGTAACCCGAAACACAGAACTGAGAGGGAAAGCAAACTTCCTACCACTTCCTGGCATGAAGCTGAAAAGTGAAGGTCATTGTTCATGTCTCCTTATGCCTTGGAATACCTCTGGTACTCAGAGTAAATGAGACTAACTGCAAAGACTGACAGACAGACTAAAGAAAGGCTAATGAAAACCTGTATTCCTGTCTGGCTTAATCTAGCAGCAAAGAAAAGGTATGGACAGCTTCATTACTGAAAGGTATAGCTTTCTCTTGATGAGGACGTATCAATAAAATATAGTTCTCTAGCTCTGTCAATTTTTTTTTCTTTTCCCTGTAAAGTCAGGGTTCTAGTTCACCTGCCAGATTTCCTCAGGCAAAATGAGTGAATTTAAGTAGCTTTCATAACAGTACACGATAGGTAGTTGCTAAATATATCTAGCATCTGCTGTGTATGTTTGCCTGTCTCTGTGTGTGCTTAGCTGGATATGGAATGCAGGAAAAACTTGGACAACTTTAACAGTTAAACTAAAGAACTGAAATGCGAGAGGGGTAAACCTGAAAAATAGGTGAATGTGTGTAGAAATCCTTGCTCTCTCACTGCTTTTTACTTATACTGAAGATCTTTGTGGCTGTAGATGCTATCACAGAATGCAAAAATAGTGATACAAAATTTGGGTTAGTCTTGCTTTCAGGCATCAGCTGTCCTTTCCAGAGTGAGTGCACTCTTCTCTCTGAGGAGAGCTGGCTTCCCTAAGTACACCTCTGCTGCTGACTTGTTGCACCAAAATCTCACAGATCTATTGCACTACAAATAAAAATGAGGAAGGTTTTGTTTTAAATGAAGTAAAAGCAGCGGCAAGATCTCTTTATGCATTTAGGTCTGAGTGTTTAGATCTCATGTTTTGCAACTGTAGAAATAACTTCTGCCATGTGTTTTCCTGGAGACTAGTGTGTGCCTGAACTCCACCCAGCTATCTGCCATATATAGGAGTACTGTCAGAGGGCTGCCTTTCAGGGAAACAAGGAAAAACAACTGGAATCTAAGTAATACAGTAGTCTCTCTTCTTGCCCTTTAGTTGAGCAGTTTGCAGCTTTGAAATGCAATATAAGAACTGTATGTGAAAGACAATGGAAATTAATTGCTGACAAAAATTGACTGTTCCAGGTAGCAGAAATATCCATACAGCATCAGACTTCGGATTAGCTATTTCTTTTCTATTCCTCTCTAATATCTATAGAATTAATTTAGCCATTTATTAGAGGATGAAGGGATGAGGGAAGTTGTGGTGTCAAAAAATAAAGCATTAAATGCTGATCATGACTGCCATCTCATTTGCATCTTGAATTGACACTGAGTTTCAGGAGAAAATAGTAAAGTCACTTCCTAACAGAACTGCTTTTGTACCTTGAGCTACTGAAAACCAGTGCATAGGCTAATCTTTGAGAGAATGAATCAGAGAGACAGAATGCCCTACAAAGGGTGTGTTTGCGTGGAGATATAAATATCTGCTGTTCTTTGGTCTTGTTTTTGCAGAAGACTAAGGAAGTTCGGTGGGTTCCAAAGGGAACTGTGTCTAGTTGTCATCTCCACAGGGCCATCTTTATTAGAGAAAAGCGTGTGTGTGCTGGAAGAACAGAATTCTTAATGGAACATGCCCTTAGTAGAGCAAAAAATATGTAGAAAACCCAAGTGCTTCACCTGGCTCAGTTCTTCTGCTGATTGTTGCCTCTAGTGATGAAAAGTACTGAAAAAGGTGGTTTGGAAAAGCTGAGCAGTTGCCATACTTGTGGATACTCAAACACAGCTAGATGAAACCCTGAGCAGTCCAGTCATGTTTGGAACTTACCTCTTCTTTTGAGGAGAAGGTTGGGTGGACTAGATGACCTTTAGAGGTCCCTTCTAACCTAAATTGCTCAGTGATGCTAATTATCCTATAAAGTTAGGCCTTTCAAAGTCTTGCATCATTAACTCCAGTAATTCTAGAAAATACACTTTAATGTTGTCCTGGATTCCATAATCTCACAAAGTAGAAGGATTGGTATTAACATCACAAACTTGGATGTAACTGCCTGTTTATGCAACAGCATTGATTGTTCATGCTCGCTCAGCTGACGGTTTTTTTGCCTCACCTTAAAAATACTCAATTTTGGGAGGGTTATGTTATAGTGAACAATTCAGACTGGCAGCTCTAGTCATAAGCATATCCTGTCATTTCAGGTAAAAAGCAGGAAGCTGATGAATTAGCTGGTGATGTTTCAGTTGAAGATGATTCCTTTGTCAAGGTAATAAAAGTATGTACATTTTTTTTTCCCCAGTTTGTATTTAAGTTAAATGTTTGGCTTTATTTACCAAAAAAAGCTTCAATTTTCTTTGTGCTGATTTATGTGGAAATTTGGAGCATTGTTTTTATGGTGTTTGCAGCTGTGATGCCTAAGGGTGTGAAGGTGTGGGCTTTTAAACATGCTATGAAGTTTTGTTATGGATATGATACAGTATTTTGCAGGAACAATGATTTTAGCAATTAATTTCTCACAATACAGCTATTACCCTTAGTTATGCCAAATATTTGTTGTTCACACCAAAAGGAAAGTGAATTGGAGACTCAAGATACAAGCGATCAAGACGGAAATGATGAATTAAAGGACTTCAAAGAACCTGTTGAAGATGAGAACTTGAATTCTAAAGAATTACCATCTGCAGAAAAGAAAAGATACCATGACCTGGAGCCAGCGGAGACAACAGAAGATGCAGAAAAGGATTCTGAAAGTCAGGTACTTTGTTGTATTTTACACGCATTTTTATTAGCAAAACGTACATTTGTTATTTTTTTTAGTGTGTCTGTATTACTAGGAAGTCAGAACTAGTTTTTCAGTTTGTCTTGCTTATCTCTGAAATTCTTTCTATTCTCCTTGACTTGTGTTTGAATAGTCCTGAAACAAATGTGGCATTGATTGATAAAATTCTACTGCAGTCCATGGAGAGTTCCTAAGTGGTCCTTTTCTCTACTGCTAGTAGTGACATACATAATCTGAACGCTCAACTGAAAGATGCAAGTCATGAGAACTGCTCGTTGATGATCACGTAACAGAAGTGTTTTCTGAGTTAATTGATTGATTATCACCTTATTGTGTATCCACGTAACAGAAGTGTTTTCTGAGTTAATTGGGTCTCTTGACTCTCTGAATGTTTAAGTGTCTTACAAATACTTTGCTGAGCAAGTCCCTTTTATGTTCTCACAGGAAAATGAAGGTCAAGACATAGAAGATTACACTTTTCCAACTGTCCATGTAAGTTCTAAATCAATTCTGTTAAGCTGACTTTCATGTTTGTTTAGTTGGAAAAGATCATTTTAGATTGGCTTTTTGTTCCAGTGTGCATCTTAGTCAGATGACATATTAACAGTAAAGGTAAATGGTATGGGAAGATTTAATTCATAATTTTTATAATGCAGATGACTTTAATTTCCAAATAAGATGTTCTATTTGAATACAAATTCCTGCCTACAATTTGGCAGTATTCAGTGCATAGACTTAGCAAGGGATAATTTTATAGTTTTCAAACTCTCTTAAAAACACTTAGGAGGGCTATGTTAAATGCTAACAAATTATATACAGCCTATACAGGAGTTTCGAACTCCTGTTTCAATGTAGAAATTTGCATTTGGAGAACGTTTGTCGGGGAGCTGGGGAGTGCTGGGGTTGGTTTTTTTGTTGTTGTTAATACTAACATCTGTAACATCTTTAAGTTCAGAAATTCATTCTGAGCTACATGGAATTGATATCTGAAAAGGGACATCTCATACGACATTTCTTGCTCAGTGAGGGTAATGATAAATAAGTAAATACCTATTAAAATCACAGTTTCATTTTGAAGTACTTAGTGGAGGAAGTCTACCTAGTTTCTGACTTCTGTCCTAAGCTTTTAAAACTAGCAATGAATTGCTTGCATTTCGTTGCAGTAGTAATCAGCAGTATGGCATCTATTCTGAAGGCTTTAGCAAGACGTGGGACAGTTTAGAAATGTCTTGTTGAGTTAAGGGAGGGGAGGGGAAAGGGGCAGGAGGAGGGAAAGGTGGGGAGAAAATAACTGCAATTTCCAACCGATTGCGAACTACAAGTGTTGCAGGTAGATACCAGTGAAGCTTCATCCAAATTTTCAGTGATATGACAAGAGAGGTGCACAGGCTTGGCTTCTAGATCATCTATTCTTTGGAAACGGTTTTCAGTTCATTAATTTGCCTTTATAAGATAGAAATTCTGTGGAAAATATGAACTGTTCTGTTTAAAGTTTTAAAGTAGGAGACATTTAGTCTTGACTTCCTTTTCTTGCAGGATGGTGAAGATGAAGAAAATGAGAAAGGTATGTTTAAAGTTTAATAGAGTTCAGAGGTCTTTAGTCTGGTAGAGCAGGCAACTGTCTCTTGTAATATTCAGTCTCTTTGCTAATACTAGGCTTGTCTCCAGTACTAAGTATCAGTTGTCTCCTTACACCTAAAATCATTGCAGTCAGTGGATTTATTTCGCTCCTAAGAGTTTATTTTGCTCTTAAGAGCTGATTGCAGTACTTATCAGTTACTGTGGTGGATGTATAATATAGTTGTAATACTATGATTCTTAATAAAAAAACATAGTATTCAAGGACTCTGATTTTAACATACGGTAAGTCTTGATGCAAAAGCTTCCAACTTGCACTGCAGTAACTGATGCTTAATTGAATGAAATTAAACACCCTTACACTGAACTTGAGCACCCAACAAATGTATGGACCGTCATATGCTTGGCTTACTGTCACTTAGAAATACTGGTTGTATATAGGATGGTAAAACAAGGTTTTTGGAAACCTGTGGAGTGGCTACCTTTTTTTTAAGCTGTGCTCATTAGTAACACTATAGAAGGAGTGTAATGCATTTGGGCAAACAGACTTCCTGGACAGAAGTCTTAAGGATTCTGCGTATTGTGGACTGGAAAGGACATGGAACACCATCACTTTGCACAGGATGGAATAAACACATTACTGAAGTTACAGGATAAAACTACAGACTCCGTGTTTACGAGGGACCCTATGGCTGGACCATCTGCGCAAATGCAAGAATACGATTGGAGATGCCTCTGTGGGACTGAGATGGAAAATCCGTCCAGTGGATGAAGACTGAGAACCATTTGTCCACGAACTCTGGATTAAAGCTGGCTCCTCTGTGTTCTACAGCAGCCTTGTACAGCTAACTTGACTGCCAAACAACTGCAAAAGAGAACACCAGTGTGGAAGACTGGCTGAAATTCTCCAAGACTGTAATTCTTTCGGATTTGGGAAGATTAGAAGTCCTAGAAACAGGAAGATTCAAAGATGGATTAAATCAAACTGTGAGCGTCCAAAGCAACTATTTTCTTCTGGAACGCTAAATCCTAAACTGGAAAATGGATACTTATGAAGAACGGGTATCTCCAGGATGGAACCATATTCTCCCTCCTAATGTTTTGGTATTTGTCTCTAGAAAATGTGTTTTGCCATGAAGAATAAGTGATCCTGGGTAAAGGATTTATATTTGTGTTAATACACCTTGTGTTTTTTTCTAACCTTCCATCAGTGCTAATAACTGGCTTTGTATTTTCTAGGTCCTATTCTAGCTTATGCATATGAAATTGTTTAAACTTCTTGTTTTGCCATATTTATTCCTGTTAAATCCTCTTAGATAAAGCAGGTTCTGGTGATGGTACACAAGAAGTATCTAAACCTCTTCCTTCAGAAGAAAGCCTAGCTGAGGCTGATCACACGGCTCATGAAGAGATGGAAGCTAACACCTCTGTGAAAGAAGCTGAGGATGATAACATATCGGTTACAATCCAGGCTGAAGATGCCATCACTCTGGATTTTGATGGTGATGACCTCCTAGAAACAGGTAAAAATGTGAAAATTACAGATTCTGAAGCAAGTAAGCCAAAGGATGGGCAGGATACCATTTCACAGAGCCTGGAGAAGGAAAGCAAGGACTATGAGATGACTGAGAACCATAAAGATGGTAAGAAGGAAGACTGCCTGAAGGGTGATCCCGTCAAGAAGGAAGCCAGAGAAGGTTCAAAGAAAGCAGAATCTGGAGACAAAGAAAAGGATACTTTGAAGAAAGGTCCCTCGTCTACTGGGGCCTCTGGTCAAGCAAAGAGGTTTGTTTTTCTATGTCAGTTCTTTACGATACTGAGTACCAGCATTCAATAAGATCACTCTACATTAAGGGGGTAGCAGCAAGAATCTTGTAATTAGTATCCTATGCTCCTGCCTATAGATTTTTTTGACCGCCATAAGTTACTTTTTAAAATTCAAGATCTTCGTATAGACACTATGTCCTACTGATTGCATTGTCGAATTGTCAGCATTTATTTATTTTTTTCAAATTGACGATTTTTTTAAATGTCCTTGTGATGATGGTAATGAACAGCTATCAGTTCTAAGAACACAAAATGAAGTCAAGTCCCCGTCCTGAAATCTGGAGAAGATTGCCATATATCCACTGAATAGAGTTGTCAGAAAATCTAGATCTTCAGGCATCTTGGGGAAAATCAGTGCAAGAATCCATAAGGGAATCATTTGTTCAAGTATACAGTCTAGCCCTTTTTTATTTTTATTTTTTGAAATGTGAACTTGTCTATTAGTATTAGCAATATAAAATGCAACACTTAGAAAATTCTGTGTTTTCAATTTTCTTCTGATTTTTAATTTGCTTCTCTAGCTCTTCTAAGGAATCTAAAGAAAGCAAGACAACTTCAAAGGATGATAAAGGTAACTATTACGAATCAAGGTAGTATTGTCTTGAACTAAATGCTTTCCTATTTGAGAAGTTGCTTGCCACAATCTAAAATGGCTTGTATAATTGAACTCGTCCATCTGTAGTAAATTATACCAGCGTCATTAAATATACATATGTGTGTCCGTATATTTTTTTTTCTCCTTATGCCAGATTCCTTGTAAGATCAAAAATACTTATTCTAAAGACTCAGTGAAAATATATTGTCCTATTTCAAAATACTTTTGGGAGCAAATTCCACTTAATGTTTCCCAACTCTTTGTTTTGATGAGGAGGTGTAATTTTCAGATGAGCCTGCTGTAACATACATACAATGATTTGGGTTGATGCTGTGCACTGTACAAGCAAAAATGACTGCAAGTACTCAACGCCAATGAAAGTTTTTGTCTTGTTTTTAATTCTAGCTCATTTCTAAATAAAGTGAACTCTCAACCAAGTATAATAGCTTGGTGCCAGCTAGCAAAATTGCACTTGCGGCTGTTCAGTGCGTTAAAGTTGTACCTAAAGTTTGTCTACTGTGGAGTTTCCATCTGTTACCATAAACCCCTGCATTACGATTAGAGATTCAGAGTGGAGCTCCAGAGCACATTAATGTCACCAGTTATACTGATGCTTCATAATTGAACAACTGCATTTGTATAAGCTCATGGTTCTCCTTCTTTTGCCTATTAGCTTGAAGCCAAAAACCTTTGTCACAGAATCTCTAATCACTAATGGGTGAAAGGAACTTCACCTGATAAATGAACTGTGGGGAAATTTTTATGACGGACATATTTGAGTCTTCTGTAGGTGCATGTCTGTTCATTATAGCTCTGTGCTTACAGTCAAATTAAATGAGGATACAGCAAATCTACTTTCATGTAGCATATATGGTAACTGTAACAATAACTATCATAAGGCTATTTTAAAATACATAGCTGAAGCCAGTATACTGCCTCTTTAATGTTATTTAATGATATGCTAAGTATATCTTGATAATCCCAGATATCTCAAGAAACTCTGATAATCCTAGTTTGACAATAACTGAGATTTGTTGCCTTTTGCTATTGTTCATCTTGACGTAAAAAAGGAAAATTATGCTTTTTCCTCAAGGTGGTTAAATTACTGTTTAAAACTCTGCCTACCACTGGATTTTCTATGGGTTTAACTGGAGATTCTGTTCTGATCTTGCTGGTGTGACTAGCTACATTTTAACATACTCAAAAGCAGTTCAAATGTTTAGCAGCAAGCAACAAGCTCAACTAAGTAAGACTAAAAGATGTTGGGAATAAGAGTACATGAATGTCTATGTTGTTGCACAAATGGCTGCTGTCTCGGGGAGGTTGTTGGTGTTTGAGGCACATAAACAAAAAAATCCAGCTTTTCTTTAGTATTTTCCTTAAGATGTGGAAAGTCATTTTGGTGGGTTTTGTCCAGTTCTACATTTAGCAGTATTTTTAAAAAGCTGCTCTGGATGGAGGGCAGATGCTTCACGAAGTTGTGGAAATTGAGCACATTATTCTGGAGACTGGGATTAACTAAGTCTCCTCTGTTTACCTTTTTGCCATCTCTTTGGCAATGTGAGTAGTGTAAAGACATACTCATGAAGAACAAATGTTGGGTGCTCAAAAAATTTTCTCGGATGGAAGTTACTGATAAAAACCAGAAGTTGAAGCTAAATGTACTTACCCAAATGGGGGGTAAAGCATGCCTTTAACAAAGAAATGTATGATTTTTCTAGCTCTGTTGTTGAACCAGAAGTGGAAGCTAAATGTACATACCCAAATGGGGGGTAAAGCATGCCGTTAGAAATGTATGATTTTTCTAGCTCTGTTGTTTGGGTATGAGTTAGCCAAGCTGTTGGTCTCAATACATGGGTGAAATTAATGAAATCTTATGGCATATATTTTCTTTATATAGAAGTCTTTTCAAGAAAGGTAACCGGATAAACAGTTACTTAAAGGTAACAGGCTAAGTTTCTCTTTTCAGCAACAGTTTAGTTCAATATTCATGGTACCTTTGTCTCCTTAATTTTTTGGTTGTTTTGTAAAACTTGTTTCAGGAAGCACAAGCAGTGTTAGTGGTAGCAGTGGAAGTTCAACTAGGAACCTGTGGGTTAGCGGACTGTCTTCCAACACAAAAGCTGCTGACTTGAAAAATCTCTTTGGCAAATATGGAAAGGTATTTCCTGGGGTGTGATACCATGTGTGTTGTGTGTGCCTCTTCCCCCTCCTCTATTCAATTATGGAAATTGCGTAATACTTGATTTAATTGATTTCTGAGATGAAATGTCTAACCAGTGTCATCTAACAAAACCCAGTACTTTCAGCATGTAAAGTGCATGCTTATAGGAAGAAGCATATGTTAATTTCATATGATAATTTTCTTCCTGTTGAGGTAAGATGCAAAAGAAATGTCACAAATAAGACTGGTCAGGACTGGCTTTAAGGTTTTTTTTAAAAAATTTTAAAATTAGTGATGGCTGTGTTCTTTTGTAGCAACTGTATTTAAACATGAGCATAAGATAACATGTAAAATTAGTGATGGCTGTATTTAAACATGAGCATAAGATAACATGCTAACCAGTAAAATTGTAATATAAACAGTCTTTATAGAACCTGCTGTTTTGAGAGACTGTTTTTAAAATGCATTCTGACTGCTCAAAATGTGAGGGCTTATGAATGGGAAAAATAGGTTAAAAAAAATGTGACAGTTAATGTCTGTTCTTTTAGGGACTCTTTTAATGATGTAACGAATTTTTTTATAGGCTGCTTAAACTAAGCCTGTCTTCCTGGATTGTGGTTTAATTTGACATGCAAATTGCATAGAACAATACAGAATCTGTATAAGCTGAGCAGTCTTCTGAATACAGTTTTTTGTTGCAGTTGTTCTCATTTTCTCAAAGGAGTTGCTGATAACTGTGCAGGTTTATACAAACACTATGAATTCACGTAGTTAAGAAGTTAATGCATCTTGGGAACAAGTTAGAACCTTAGCACTGTGAATATCAAGTGTGTGTACTGATTATTGCATACCTGTTTTTTCTAATAAATTTAGTAGGTGATTTTATTTAATGCCTTCACAAGTATTGAAACCTGAGAATATATTTTGTTTAAGCTTCAAATTCTTTGGCTGTTTTTGCTGTAAAGATGCTTGGTTACCTGTATTTTCTTAGCTTCCCAGTTTTAAATTAATTGGGAAATATTTAGGGAAATACTTAGTTTCTAAATGACTGTAGCATTACAGGCTTCTAGAAGGATGAAATTGTCACAGTAGAGCATCTGTAGTTACAGAAATTCTAGCAAGGAGCAGGAACACAAAGCTTAATGCTTCCTTGAGAAGCAGGTGTCAAAGAGCTGGTTGCTAAAATTGCTTAATTGACACATTTGCTAGATGCCTTTGAAGAACCGGCTCCCTTCTTAGGTTACTACATGACACTGCTTATACCTTCCTGCCATTATTGGCAGCTGCTGACTTCTTGGGGGGGTTTATCTGTCAGAGATGTCAAGTTCAGATCAGTGGTGTTTCTGTGAAGGTATTTTGACGGTATCTGTCAAAAGAAGCATTTAGATAACGTGCATGAGGTTGTGAGTATTCAAAACGGGACGCAAGCAGTAATTTGCTTTGATGTGATAGTTGGGATAAAGTTCTCAAAGGTGCAACTTCCTGTGGATTTACATGCTTTTGAAGACTTGGAGTGTCAGTCTTTCTAGTGGGGTGGGTCTTTGTTGCTGGTAGGGGTGGTTTTGTTTGGTTTGGGTTTTATGTACTCGAATAAAAATATTTTTGGAATATCATTGCTTCCCTGCTAGGAATGTCTGTCTCAAACCCTCAATGTTATCTGTTAACGTAGGTGCTTGGTGCAAAGGTGGTCACAAATGCACGAAGCCCAGGGGCAAAGTGTTACGGGATAGTAACAATGTCTTCCAGCACAGAAGTGGCCAGATGTATTGCACACCTTCATCGAACAGAGCTGCACGGACAACAAATCTCTGTTGAGAAAGTAGGTTTAGTAAGAGGAAAACTTCTCCCAAAATAGCCCATCTTATTCAAGAATCTATAGTAACCTGTTTGCTTTTGGAAAAAAATTATAGGTGAAAGGCGATCCCTCCAAAAAGGAGATGAAGAAGGAGAGTGATGAGAAGTCTGGTTCGGGTAGAAGCACAGGAGATAAGAAGACTACGTCAAGTGATAAAGCCAGCAAGTAAGAAATTCCACGTGTCTTCTGCAGTTGTGAAAATCCTTTAGGTTGAATTTTTCTCATTGTGTCTGTGTGTTTCTTTCCTAACAAGAACGCCATCAACCAAAAAAGAAGAAAAGAAATCTGAAAAATCTGAAAAAAAAGAAAGTAAAGAAGCCAAGAAAACAGAAGGTAAAGATGAGAAGAGTGATAATGGATCAAGTGGCCCTAATCAAGAATCCACTAAAAAATCTGAAGAAAAGAAGAGAATAAGTATGCAATATAGCCGTGTTTCCTCCTGTTGAATCTGTGTGTCTGACTTGTTTTGGGGGCATGTTCTTGCTCTTACCAGAAACCAGACAATGAAACAACTGCTCCTTTTAGACTCCAGTCACATGTATTACTTTAGAGCTGATGTTAAAGATTCTATATTTTATATTATTTAATTACAGACATGTGCTGGAATGCTTCTCCCATTGGTAACAGTTCAATGTGGATTTTAGGTTTAGACATTTCACCAAGGAAAATCTGTAATAGGCAAATAGGGCTCTGAGTGTGTGTGTGTGTGTGTTAAACCTTTTTTCTTTTTCTTTTTTTTTTCTCCCCCCTTCACTAGGTGGTAAAAGCCCAGGTCAAGTTGTAGTTTTAGACCAAACAAAAGGAGACCAAGGCCACACTAGGACAGTTAGAAGGGGAAGGTTTGATAAAGTAAGTATCTGTAGATTTGATACTACCTTACAGTTGATATTTTCACTGAAGAGTCAATAAATAATAAACTATTACAAACTGTTAAGCTTAGATAGAAGCTTTTTATACTTTGGGGTAGTTAAGTAGTTAATGATACTTGAAAATAGCATCCAGAAATCTCCCTAAATGAATGAGACTTCTGAAATAACCATTGTAATCTCTATCTATAGCCACAGATATTGAGGAACAAAGAGCGTATTATTCAAGATAAAGTGAAATTCAGGGAATACAGGGGTAGAAAGGATATCTTGCCTTTTGAAAAGATGAAGGAACAGAGATTGCGAGAACACATGGTTCGATTGGAAAGAATACGACGAGCTGTTGAACTCCGAAGGTAGTAATTCAACTTTTTGCTAAAGGCTATTTTATACATTATTGATCAGATACTATATTTAGAAGTCTAATTAGAATGCATTCTGTCAAGCCTTTTACTCAGATGTGTCTGGGACTCTGCCTGACATTATCTTTATATGAATTAATGGGCTCCAGAATTTTTATTTAATCTTTTAATAGCCATAAGTGTACACGCATAGCTTAGTGTTTGTTATAGTGGGGGTGTATCTCATAAGTGTTACTGCATGCCAGTGTTCTTTTGGAAATGATGAGAGTTGACAAGGAGATGTGGCCTAAAATGGTGTTTGGGGTTGGTTGGTTTGTTTGTTTTTAAATGGATAACTGTGACAAATCAAGCATAATGTAATCTTGTCCCTTTAAATGAAAGGGCAAAATGGCTACACTGTTCTATTCTGCTCTTTTCATATGGCCAAAAGTTTGCAAAGAATAGTTAAATGACTTGTGGTATTAGCTGGATTTCCCAAGGAATTCCCAGCAGGCATAAAACTTAAAGGAGTAGCTGCCTTTCGTAAGCTGTACTATAGCGGGTGGGAAGAAGCAGCAAAATGAAGCTGTGGACAAGTATACCTCACCTGTGCAACTCAGAGTGGTCATGTTATTCTGTCTTATTTTTAGACAGAAAACAATAAATAAATTTTTTGTTAGCTAGAAGAGGGCAAGAGCTAAATTAGCAAGTATTTTTAAGATTCAAACCATATTCTCCGCTAAGCTGCTGTTATTGTCTGCAACATGACAACATAGAAATACAAGTCCAGCATAAAATACATCAAGAAACATAATTCTTGATGTAACTCTTTCTAGTATCTGTTGTCTGCTTAAATGGTTCTGTAGAATATGTTAATACCACCTCGGCTACTTGGGGCTAAAAAGAGTAGACTTCTGTCAAGAGCTTACTCTCAAATGGTTGTTTTTTTAATGTCTGTGATGTTAGTTTTGGATAAGGAGAACTTTCAGATGAGTTTCTACTATCTATTTTTTTTTTTTTTTTTTTTTTTTTTTTTAAAAAAAAAAAAAAAAAAAAAATTTTTTTTTTTTTTTTTTTTTTTTTTTTTTTTTAGGCGAAGAGAAATTGCCGAGCGGGAGCGTCGTGAGAGAGAGCGCATACGAATCATGCACGAACGAGAAGAATGCTTGCAGAGAGAAAGGGAACGATTGGAAATCGAAAGGCAAAAACTGGAGAGGGAAAGGATGGAACGGGAGCGTTTGGAAAGAGAGCGTGTTCGCATTGAGCAGGTGTGCATATTTATAGTTTGGACCTTGGTGTGATACCATTTTGGATTATAACCCAGTTTGCGCTTGCGGTGAATTTTTCTCTTCAGCCTTCCACCCTGGCCAAAAAGAACTCGCCAAACATTTCACAATCCACAATGTACAACAAGAGCAATCCTTATCTTGTTTGCTTGACTTGTGGGTGACTTCATGGCAAATTCTTGCTACTGGTTTATGCAGTGGCCAGTGTAGAGAAGTACTTCTCTTTAATCTTAGATGCTATCCAAGGATGAATTGTATCTGATAGCCTTTAATAGAAAACTGTCAGATATTAATTCTATGTACTTGCTGACTGTTCTATAGGCATCTCTAATAAAGAGCTATTTTGCTTGTTGTGTTTATTCACCCTTCCCTTTGGTGCTAGGAACGTCGAAAAGAAGCAGAGCGTATTGCTCGTGAAAGGGAGGAGCTTCGTCGACAACAGCAGCAACTTCGTTATGAACAGGAAAAAAGGAATTCTTTGAAACGGCCACGTGATGTAGATCACAGGTAATCTCATCCTCAAACCATTGTTCTACAGCACTTTGGTAAAAAGAAACAGCTGCCAGCTCGGTGTCAGAAATGCATTTGTACCTGAAATAAGCTTCCATGGGAGAGTTAGATTTCTGGCATTTGTTTGGGTTTGACATCAGTTTATGCCAAGCATGAAACATACCTTGTCTGTAGGAGAGAGTTTTGAAATAAGAGAAGCATCCCATGAATTAATTGAATTAAAACTAATTAAAAGAGCATAATGCAATTCAGTGCATTTACTGAAAATAGCTGTTCTGCCTTAACGGTTGAAATTTCTAGCTTCTACTTTGTTAAGAATCTGTATTTCTGGTAAATGGATGGTTCAGGAAGTCAATGGGATGGCTTTTAATTTTTACTGAAGCTGATGACATTGGTCATTTGCTGTCTGAGCTACATGAATTGAACTGGCTTTGATCTTTATTTGATTATAAGAATTGGACTGAGACCATAGCCATAAATCTGACACGTTGGTGGTACAATGGAAGGTAAGAGTAAGTTGTTATGGTGGATGTCGTAGCAGAACACTAATATTTCTTGACCAGCTTCATTATTAAGGCTACTGATTTATACACTTTAGTATCTCACATTCTTATCATAGAGACTCTGTACCTGAATGCTTCTAGTAAGCAAGGCTGTGATGATACTAATCTTTCCTGAGAAAGCGGTTCTGATTTGTGGGTGTTCTGGTTTGGGGTTTTTTTGTTGGTTTATTTTTTTTTTTCCCTAGAAGGCAATTTTCAAGGCAAAATTTTACTCCAGTGATGTTTTTGTTGGAGGTTTGGTTTGGTGTTTTTTGTGGGCTTTGGGTTTGGTGTTTGGTTTTTTTTTTTGTTTTTGTGGGTTTTGGGTTTGGTGTTTGGGGTTTTTTTTTGTAGCTGTCCAACACGGTATAATATTGCTTAGATTTTATTATGTATTTTATTGATATTTTGTCTCTTTAATTTGCAGTTCAAGCAGAGAGATATTTTGGGGTTGTTTTTTTTTTTTTTTATTTGTAACTGTCCAACATGGTATACTATTGCTTAGATTTTATTATATATTTTATTGATATTTTGTCCCTTTAATTTGCAGTTCAAGCAGAGAGGTATTTTGGGTTCTTTTTTTTTTTTTAAGTGATTGTTGCTGTTTTAAAGAGTCTACCTTTTTTGGTGGCTTTCTAAAGGTCAAATCACCGTCTTTAAAACAGACAACTGACTCGATGGTTTTCTGCGTATTAGGCTTTGATTTGGATACATGGAGCTGACGAGGGTTCATTTGTTTTCCTTAAAGGAGAGATGACCCTTACTGGAATGAGAATAAGAAGATGGCTCTTGATACAGATGCACGTTTTAGTCATGGTTCAGATTACAGTCGCCAGCAGAACAGGTTTAATGATTTTGATCACAGAGAACGGGGACGATATCCAGAAGGTTCTGTTCCATCATCATCTTTTGATAGGTAAGTTTAGGTAATAGGGCAGGTATTTGCCTGCCAGCATTACTGTGGATTTCACTCTGAACTATTCAAAATTTAGAATGGTCCTTTATACGCTTCTGATGGAAGAGAATTACGGTATTGTCCTGAAATTCCTTGTGTTTTCAGGATTGGCCGTTTTTATCATGGAATCCAGTCTGCTTTTCCCGAAGACTTTAAATTTGCTGCCTGGTGGTCTTTTTTTGGTGATAGTTTGACATAATTATTATCATTATTCCTTTCTCACATCTAGTCCTAAGTGGGTTCCAATGGATTAGATCTGTCCTACTTGATAACCCATCTCCTTAAAAAGCAAGGCTTAAACAACTGGTTCAGTGAGAGTTAAGAGCATTATTTGTGTGAGTCACATTCGTCAGGGTCCATGCAACTGTGCAGTAAATGCTAGTTACAGATCTAACTTAATGTTTCCAGTAAACATCTCCAATAACCATTAAGACCACAAAATTGTAGCTTCTGGGCTTCTACTTTCGTGCTGCAGTGAACTAGAATTATATTTTCTAGCTGACTCAAGAAATCTAGCATTCCCTCTGCTTCATAATAGGCAAGAAGGGAGGCCCTGCAGTTGCTTAAATTACACTGACCAGAATGTGAAGAGATAAATGCATCAAGAAATGTTAAACTGCCTCTAAGAACTCAAGCTAAAAATTAAAATTGTAGAAATAAATATAATTTGAGGTAGGAAGGTTCTTTGAGATATGTACCTCATATGTAGCATTACACATGTAATGTAAAGATGAATAATATTTTTGTGTACTCAAATGTATACTGCTTATGTGTGCAGAGAATGGGGAAAATGAGAGACGAGCAAATGACTTTTTCCTTCTTTCCCAACTTAGGCGAGAACGTTTTGTAAATCAAGGTGAAGCAAAAAAGACTCGCCCGACAGCACGAAGAGACGAGCCAGGGTTTGAGAGATACCCAAAGAACTTCAGCGAGTCCAGAAGAAATGAACCACCACAACCAAGAAGTGAACTTCGAGATACAGACAGACGGGAAGTGCGAGGAGACAGAGATGAAAGAAGAACAGTGATAATTCATGACAGACCTGAAATACCACATGGTCGACACCCAAGAGAGACTGGTTCAAATCCCCCTAGGCAAACAAATTGGAAGAGCGAGGGAAGCATAAGCACAGACAAACGGGATGGCAGGTAAATCTGCTGGCTCACCAAAAAGCTAGTGAAGGTAGTGATTCTCATCAAATTTCCCCATATTAGCAATTCCTCAAGAATTGCTGTGTAAAGAGAGAACAGACCCCTCCAAAAGAATGGCAAAGTCACTTTCCAAAAGCATTAGACAAAACTCGTGTGTAGGTTGTCACATATGCTAAACAGCATCTGTAAACTCGATGCTGACTCCCAGCAATCTGTTCTTAATCATGTGTAGCAAGAGATAGTAAGGAGGCTTTTGTGCAAGAATGCTGATGTAAACAAATAACATGTAAGCTTTAATTATTTAGGGAGCCACATAGATCTAAAAGAACGTTTCTAAGAAGCAAGTTGCTAGGAACCTGAAAAACAAAAAGGAATCTTTGAAGTCTACATGTGCTGTGGTTTGGTGCCCATTCTATTATACTGAAACCAACATTTTGATAAAAGCAATTTTTACAGAGGCGAGAGGCCAGATCGATCGGGAAGAGAAGTGTCTGGGCACGTGAGAGGCGCCCCTCCCGGCAGCCGCAGCAGCGCTTCTGGCTATGGAAGCAGGGACGGAGAACGAGGCGTGATGGGAGAGAGAGGTGGACAAGTGAGTCATCTTTCTGTGTTAGTGTGCAGGAGTGAGACTGGAGAATGTGCAGTCACGCTGGACAACCAACCATATAGCATCACATAAACTATTAACGAGCATTCTGGCTCTTTTCATGTTACTTTTCTTTAAAAAGGTTCTTTTTTGTTGGGTTTTCTAATAAGCCAAGAAATAGCAGAAAACGTACCCAGTTCTTGTTAGGTCTGGCATCTTTCAGGTAAATCAGAACAAGGCCTGAACGAGTTGCTCATTAGGCTTTTAAGAATTTGTTGTCGTTGTCACATTTTTGGGATCAACCTTACACTGCCTGCTACTGCCAGTGCAGTTTGTCATTGTAATCTGGAACGTGCTACTGAGAGAAAAACCTTCTCTAAGACTTGTCTCCAGACTCCACAGACTAAATGAATGCTCCGTGCTACTAGATCCAGGAGCATTCAAAAAAACCAAAGCGTTTCTCTTTCTGCAGCTGTATGGAAGGTGTTTGTCAGGGATTCTGTGAGATCAGGGCAGAACTGGGAGTAGCGTGTGAGTTCTTGGAACTTCACTCCCTGCACACCCACACAGTTGTTATTGGAAAATAGTTTCTTTTTGTTATCTAGAGTTATTTTTAACAGGATTCTTGTAAGGATGGGTTAGCTGACTGAAACCTTAAAAGATGCTTGACTTCTTTGGTATATGATATATTGAAGCTGTAAGCTTAACTTTCCTGAAAAGCTCATTTCCTGTTGATAACAAAATATGCCTTTCATTCTGAAAATGACTGTCACTTCCTTCCTAGCACTATAATGAGGACAGACATGTTGTTGAACGCCACAGTCGTGAAACTGGACCAAGAAAAGAATGGCATGGACCTAGTTCTCAAGGAAGCGGGTATCATGACACAAGGAGAATGGGAGATGGCCGTGGAGGAGGTGGCATGATGTCTCCACATACAAGGTACAAAAACTACTCCTTCCTTGCAGTTCCCTCCTGAGCTCTCAAAGCTCTGGTTGCTTGGGCAGCGTGGTAGTCTCAGCGCAAGCAGCGTGACGTTCTGTGGGTGGGCTGCTGCAGCAGGACACACAAACCCAGCTTTCTGTGCCAGCACATGACCCCATGTTGTCATGTTGCCGGTGGCCACTGTTGTTCTGCTGCACAGAAGGAAGTGACTTCTTGCAAAGTCTCTTTTCTTGCATGGTTTCAGGTCTCTGCTGAGACTTAGTTGAGCGATAGGAGAAGTAACAATGTTCTTACCTGTACATAAAGAGTGTAGATACTTGTCATAACTTAACACTTTTTTAAAACCTTTGTTTCCAGTAACTCTTCACCAATTAATAGAGTTGTACAGATCACAGGCAATTCCATGCAGAGGGGAAGTGGCTCAGGATTTAAGCCATTTAAAGGTGGACCTCCACGAAGATTCTAAGATCTACAGCTGCTCGGTTTCAAGATAACTTATTGAAATCTCTTGTAAACTTTCTCTGATTAAAAAACAGGAAACCTTGTCTGGAAGTCCTGGTTAAATTTTTTTAATTTAACATGATTACTTTCCTCTCAATTTTGGAGGCATTTTAATAGTTACGTTGTAATTTTGGATAGTTTTTGTGTATCTTTGATAAGCATTTTCCCTGAGGCACTAGAGCTGTGTAAAAAAACAAATTGGAACCAAAATATTTGTTAATCCTGTATAAAAGACTAGTTTGCAGCTGTGTGCTAGTAGTTTGATTTACCAACATTAGCTCTGTGGTGTCATGCTTTAAAGTTAGCTACTTCTCACAACATACACAACTATAACCTCCATTTTGAAGGTTGTCCAGGCTATTATCTCTGCTTTCTAATTTGTAGAGAAATAAGATTGTTCTTTCATTACTGGGTATTATGTAACCTATTTTTGCAGAAGGTACTGTTACATTGAGTGCATTTATGTGTATTCTTGCAAATGTATTCTTTTGAAATAAACCTTCATATTCTGTATAGCTTCTAGTAAGTCTTTGAAACAGTCTTTGGGGAAGGAAGAGAGAATTAAACAGATACGTTCGTGTATAGCAAATCAAACCATGGGTGCCATTAGCTTCCAGCTAAAACTTCTTTAATTGTCTCCTTCACTACTATTACTGAATTGAAAAACTAGAAGCACCTTCGATAGCACAGGAAAGATTAGTAGCAAAAAATGCAGGGACTCTCACGGGAGGCCTGAAGAAATAATTTTGCAGAGTTTGCTCTTTATGTGTGACAAAGCTGTGGCAGAACCCAGCCCCCCAGGAATGCACGTTGTGTAGCGTGGCTGGGGAATCCCATCCCAGGCACCCTTGTTCAGAGACACCCACAACGCTTCACTCCTGGGCTCAGGCAAAAGGGATGCATCTTTGTAAACCTTCTGGTGTTATTTAACATTGAATGGCCTATGCTAAATCTTTTGTGACTGGGCCAATCAGAAATGTTAGGTAGTCAGTCCAAGGCTCATCTGTCACCCAGTCAGTGTAAGTATTTAGTTACAAGCCTGTTGTTCAGCAAGTAAAAAAAAAACCTACAACAAAAATAACAAAACCCCGCAAATCTACTGTGCTACACAGCTTTACCACATTGGGTTGTTACAGAAATGAACAGAGGACCTTCTAACAGAACTTAAAAAGTGCTTGTAAAGTAGTATTTGCAGGCTGGAAGGTTTCACTGCTCCAGGTTTTCTTTTAAGGAATGATTTAAGTTTGAAGTTTTAAGGCAAGAGTCAGCGAGAACATGCTGATGTTGCACATGGATCGTTGCCACCCTCAGTTACAGTCCGTTTGTGGGGAAGAACTGTTAAGTATCTACAGTCTTTCAGAGGAATTAAGAAGCAGAAAATGAGTTAGGCTAAATTGGTTTTGAGTTAGTAGCCTTTCAGGAAAGATGGGCGGAGAGAGAAACAGCATTTTCTGCAATTAATACTTTGTGAACACTGGCAACTGCCAAATATTTATGTTTAATCAAAAAAATATGTTGTATCAGCAAATGTGTCAGGCCCTGTTTACCCAGTAACTCATCTTGATGAATTTGATACCATCTTCTCTGTTGTTCAATTCTTAAAAGAAAAAGTTGACTATGTTCAATTTACTGCATTTTTTTTGCAGGAGTTTAAGAGAAAGTACAAGTTAACAGTGCATTTTAAAAATTACACATCCATTTGGCTACAGTCTATTTCATTAGGTGTGACAACACATACAAAATAAATAGTTGCTCTAAGATGAATTTGTAGTGGCTAATGGATCACATGGCAAATATGGAAGTTTATAACCTTAAAAGACAAAGCTCTAGAGTAGTACAAAAATAGAAGTTGGTGTGACTTGATATCTTGCCTCCAGTAAATAGGTCTAGGTGGGCATTCCACCTGTTAATAAATAGTATCTCCTGGCATTTTTTTTCTAAATTAAAAGAAAACGTGATTTTGCATATGTAGATATTCCACTTAGATTAAAATAGCAAAACAAACCAAGATGATGGGAAAAAAAACCTGATTGAAAACGAAGTGCCAAAAACTTTGAGTTTATAAAATATTTAGATCAACAGAAGTCTGTCCTTTTCTAAAGCAAGATTATTATTTTTGTTTAAAGACTTAATCCAACTGTTATTATTAGGCAAGAACTTAAATACCTAAATGAAATGTTTATTTAAGTTTACTCACTTAAATTTATTTACATACAATGAATTTCAGAAGACTGTTAACCAAAATAAATCTCATCAGGGTAAAGACCTTAAACTACAGAGAGGCTGATATAACTGCAGACACTTTAAAAGGTAACAAGAGTTTAAACAGTTTTTCTTTGCGGTACACAAACAAAAAGGGGTGTTAATATACAGAAGTAGACTTCTCTGAAAATTATTGAAGTGTTCAAAATTACTTTAACAATTTACAAGGAAAATGTTGTTTCCTTATAGTCTTAAAAACACATTAATACAATATAAACAATTAAGGCTTTTAAAATGCAAAACATTCAGTAGTTGACCTCGTGGATGCCATTACAGTGTTGGGTAAGGGGGTAACACAATGGAAAGGATTTCACTCCCGTAATTGGTACAGGCGATACCGCATGACTCAAGTTAATCATGTCATGCACTTCTAAAATACAACTTCTAAAAATTTAACTTCTCCCCTCTCTTGGTAGATCCACAGTAGCTTGTGTTAGCTCTTATTTTTACATTTCCTTTTAAAAGCAGGTAGCAAGATCAAGATAACCCATTAGGTGCTAACAGGCTCACAACCACACTCTGCTGTAACGCAGCAACTGCACAGCTCTGACAGGTCTGCGCACGGCATCCTGAAGACATTACTAACGTGCAAGTCTTTTGAAACCTTCCTAAGATACGTAGGGATGGGGTTTTTATTATTATTTAGAATTTCATTGTCAAAACAATTAACGTGGTAACAAATACTTAACAATGGAGAACTAGGGGCAACTTCTTCAGGATTTATTTTTGCATGCTTCATCTGTAGTTTCTTTTAATAAGCTTACATAGGTATGTAAAAGGTGATTATCAAAAGCTGTACAAATAATAGCTGTGCATCTATTCACCAGATAAAAGGATAATCAAAAATTATTTATGAAAACTTTGATAAGAACATCTTTTACTAAAAGCTGTAATATGAAAGATAACCCAAAAGTCTGTCATTTAACATTAAAGCTCTGCCAGGTTATTGTGAAGGAAGTGATGCTGCATTGTTCACTCCCTTATAAAGCCAGTAACTGAAAGGTAGTTACATTCAGTGGCTGTGGAAGAACTAGTGCTGAGCAAGTAGCAACAGATGTAGGTTTTATTTCTCTGGGACAGCACAAGACACTTGACACTTTCTATTTAAGTACCACTATCACATCCTTTGAGGCGTGACCTGTAAACAGTGATTACACACTGCCAAAATATAGGGGAAAAAGCCAGTGACGGGTGCCATCATTTGTCAGACGGGATCTGCCAGGGGCCGGGGGGAGCGTTCCCAGCTTTCCTTTTGCAGGTACAGGCTGTGTCAAACCCAGCGTCCCGCTCGTTGGCTGAACCTCTGTGCTGTGACTGTGGCACCAGTCACACTCTTCAGCTTAATGTAAAGAGTTACCAATGGGTTCTCAAAAGTTATTTTTGCCTCCCAGCCTCAAAGAGAAAGCATGTTAGAAACCTAGAAATGCAAGCATACTGCTGGAAACCGAGTATACGAAATGCAAATGTGTAATTATTTCAACTATTCATGATAAAAAAAAATGCAAATGCTGAACTGTAAGTAGTTAAAAAATTCACAAGCAGGTTCATTGGTTCACTGTATCTGCAGTGGTCTCAAAGACAAGCAGCTACTATACTGTTCCAAGCAAAAGAAGGATTTTATTTCCACAGCAACATTTTCCTATAGTAAATACGACTCTATTGTAAAGTCTACCAGGGCTGCAACTGGCCAAATCCCCACACTGTTACTCATCTCACACAGGACCTGGTTTTGAACTGTCAGGCTGAAGGATTTCACTAAAACGCAATTGTAAACAAAACCAGTAATTAATACAAACCAGCTTCTTTTGGCTCTGGTTAAACTGCAATAACAAAAGCCCTAAAATTAAGAGACCAGTTGATGCCCTGACACCAAAATACTGCAGAGAAAAAATGAAGTTCCATTGAAAATAGGCACAAAATGCTTAACAGGTCACATGCTGAAAAGCTAGCAAAATCACAGTTAAATTCAAAACTGAGCTTTTTTTTTTTTTTTTTCCTAAAAATGCACAGAATAATCAAACAGTAGCTTTCCTCTTAAAAAAATATATGGTAGAAACAGCATAGATGGAACTTTCCTATTTGGTCTGAGATTTTTCAGAAGCCTAGTACTGGTCACCAGCTTCCTCTGCACCTCTGGAAGCTCCCACCGCAGTGGGAAGTACAGGCAGTTGCTTCTCCCAGCTCTCTGCTTGCAGAGCTAACGTGTTGGTAATTAACTATGAAAAATGTTAAGTAAATTATGAAATTGGCTTGTGTAAGTCTACAATGAAACACCATGTGCCTTCTGGCTGTATCCAGTAACGTGAACTGGACTGAGTAGATACTTAATAAAAGAAGATTTAGGACAAGTGCTAAGTGTTGCAATGCTGCTCCCAAAGTTTCAAAGGATGCCAAGAGGCATCCAGCCACCACGAATGACTGTGACTGAGGCAGTCCAGAACTGTTCACTATTGCAGTTCACAAGGCAAGATAGTAAAAAGCCAAAACATTGCGTTCTTTTGTTTAGAAATAATTCTTTTCCTAATATTTGTTAAATCCTGGTGAAGTTTGTACAGCGTAGGTTTGCTACTGATGAAGCAGTCTGACGATAGTTCTAAAAGGTGACTGCAACATATATAGCAAAATACACTGTTATCTTACAAAATCAAATCTTAAGGTGTTTGGGGTTTTTTTTTAAATAATATTATGTTCCTTATAGACATACTACAAGACAAGTAAAACATTGTGTCAAATCATTAGAGTTCTTCAGAAACTTTTCTGCAGTCTTTAATTTCCTAAGACTGGGAAAGATGGTATTACAAAGAATGTTTCAAGGTAGTCTCAAAGTCTGTTAGGAAAGCATTAATCTAATTTTCTGTATTTCTTTCACAACAGCATGTACACTTACAGCATGGGCAGGAATAATCAGGATAGTTTTATTATAGCTGGCACAGATAATAAATCATAGTATGTTGTCATTAATGACAACAGGTATTTGGAATTCATACCTGACATGGAGAAGTCCATCTCACCACGTCCCCAGCATGACACTAGCTACAGATGGCACGGTGACACCTGGGCAAACTGCTCTGTCAGGAAGGGAAGGGGACACCAGCTGGGAGCACCTTTCCCCAGTAGCTGCTCTCACAGCTCATCTTCAAACTCCTGCTCAGCCGGCGTTCAGAGAGTGCAACCTGAAACAGCGCTAACATTTTCTTACATCTGATTTTATAATTTCCATTAACTTTTATAATTTACCATTGCCAAATAGAACGTTTTGGTAATGGTAAAAAGCTTTATTTAGAGTTTTCCTTTAGTGGTTCTACGGCTCTTGTATTCAAGAGCACCAGAGTGGGTGAGTGCAAATCCTGGTCTGGTCAGTGTTATTTCTGAGCGCTCAGCAGCAGTCACTGCATCACAAGCACAAACAGGAGCTCATCAGCCTCACAGACTGGACAGCGTAAGCAAGACCTAAGAAAAACTATTTGATACAAATATTAATGACTAGATATGGTCTGTTCATATAAAGGGGAAAAACTGTCTGTTTTCATATTGTTATTTTGGAGTTCCCCAAAACAAGAGATGCCAAACCCAGCATGTACCCATTACTCAGACTGATTTAAGTTTACTGACACAGTGGTTTCTTCTAATTGCAATTTTGACCCTTTCCTTGCATGTGCCAGTGAACCAGCACAAAAGTCAACAGAAGCTTATTCTGAAACACATTTAGAAGAAATCTAAAAATGCTAAACTACATCAGGTGAAATTTTCAAGACTGCTTAGCATTATCTTAACTTTAAAACGTTATAGCTGAAGATTTAACTCAAAAAGCTATGCAAGTTTTACTAATTGCTTCGACAAGAAAAGAGAACATGAAGTTCAAGTTGAAGCAGACTCAGTATCACATCACTCCATCCAGCTCTGATGGAGAACTGAGTTTGTATGAGCTGAAGGCATCTTCTCCTGAGACACTGATAGATCCCGTCTCGTATTTCTGAGCTTCACAACAAGTATCACTTAGGCTGGATGGGACCTAAACTGAAAGTGGGTCAGCACTAGAAGACAGTTCTGGAGAGATTAATTAAAGAAATATAAAACTTCCATGAGTTTGTGTCCCTGTCCAGTCCCAAAATCTGTATATATACATTTGGCATAATGTTTGACTGTATCGAACAATCATGTTTCACTCACTTTTGGCCCCAGCAAGACTGTTTGCCACACCACCACCACCGCCTTCCTTCAATGCAGGACTTGACCAGTGAAGGAAAGCAGCTGCAGTGCCTTATTTCATGTTTTAGCAGCAGACTACATTTAGAGAAACAGATGCCTTTATTTTCATCATATTGTTACAATAAATTATTTTGCAAGCATACTGTTTATACTAAGCCAGCAAACCTTTCAGTTGATTTGATTACTGAAACTTTTCTAAGTTGTTCCCTGTGGGTTTCCCAAACCTAGCTTTTTTTTTTTTTTTTAAATTTTCTATGCTGTCAAAGAGAGGTAAACATTGGATCTTGACTTCTAAAGATAATGAACTAAAGTTCTTAACCTGAAAGCCCAAGGAATTGCTCAGTTCAACATGTGAGCACCAGTGATCCTACAAACCAGAAGAGGAACTGTAAGGGCAGTAAAGAACCTTTAGGTTTCAGCAAGTTTTCTAGAGCTGCCTCTCCAGGTCAGGAGAGCTCACAGTGATAGAGCTGACTTAATCGCCAAAATAGAACAGTAGAGAACTGACATTTAATAAAAATATTTTCAGTTATTAGAGGGGCAGAACAGCCAGTCTTGACCTAGAAGCATTATGAGTGAGGAACAGCCTGTGCAGGGACAGACACTGCCAACCCCCATGACATAATTCATTACCTGGGTGAGAAGATCTGGCCACTGCATGCTGTGCTACAGCTATTTGTGTCTAAAATAACAGCAAAATTAAGGACAAATCTCCTATACAATCTCAAAAGGTAGTACACGGACCTCTAAGTTCCAGCCTGTCTCTCCTCCTCAGCATTCCTCTACAGCACTTCTTCCTCATCGCAGCAGATGACAGTTAGAGCTTAAATTTATGTTGCTTTTCCACTGGACAACCGTAAGAACAAGCTGTGAAGCAGCAGGAGCTGTATGGAAACACTATGGAAATAAACATCAAATAGATTTCTGTGTAAATGCTTTCGTGTGAGAGCACGTCATTGATCTCCCCAGGTTCTCTCACTCAGAACACGGCTGCCGAGAGGCTATTGCCAGGGGTGCTTAGAGAGGAACTGCACTGACTCACGAGGTAACACGCCTATGGTTAAGTTCTCACACAAATGTGACATGTGCTGTCGTTGGACTATAGGAACATTTCTCACTGTCACATTTTTCTGGTCACCAAGGTCTTGCTATCATAGCATAGATGGAAAAATGGGAGCGTGATATTGCAACCAAACTAAGGCTTGTCAGGTTTGCTTTTCTCTAATACGCTTTCTAATGAGGATACTGCATTAATTAACTTGCATTTCCCGGGTCAGCTGCTGTTTAAGGTTACAGCCTTAAAGTCTACTTTTACATAAAATAAATACAGCTCTTAATTATGTTGTATTTAAGGATGTACTTTGTATAAACTTCAGCAATTGGCTATGATAAGCATCCTAATGGTAAGAAAGCCGATCTAAGCAATGAGCTGGCTTTGGGTTATAGAGCTACTAGAGCAGGAAAGAAAGGTTCGCTTCAAAGTACACCAGCTTCACTTTTTACTCAAGTATTTCCTGCTGAATACACCAGAAGATTCAATTTGAAGAACTCAAATTACCTTTTATTACATACTGGAAAATTTTTTCATGAACTTGTGTACACAAGTTTGAAGAAACATTTGACAATAACGTGAAATACCAAAAAGGAGTGTGGAGATTGACTGGCAATCCAAGGCAAGTGTACACAGCAGAGCATACGCTTCACTTTCAGCTCGTGTGCCTGTGATCCACAAGAAGAGCTCTGTGAAGACAATCTGAACACACGCTTTATTAGATTAACTAGATGGCTAGCTACAAAATATATTTTTTTGCATTGTGTTTAAGTGAATTTTCAGGAATGCTGATTTCATCCTCTGGTGTTAGAATCTTCCTTTGGATCTGCTTCGTTGAGTCACAGATTCCATATAAACATCACAAGAAAAGTGGTATATTTGAGCATTTAAAAAGTGCCTTTTAGAAAAACATTTATCACTATGGCAGTGCTCAATTTTTGGCTAATTTTAAGAATACTTGTATTTAGCATTTTTTATTTCACAACTACAATGCAACGACGACAACAAAAATATCTATGATTCTGTTTTCTGCGCTAGCTTTTATCTAGTGGAAAACAAGTTCTACTCTACTTTTCTGGACAGTTTCATATATATTATGTAGTTATTTGGAGCATGTGCATGCTAAGTTGTATAAACAGATTTAAAGTATAAATCTGTACCCTTTTGCCAGAACGAGCTTCAAAAAGTGCATATGAATAGTCAGAAGTAGACATCGTCTTTCTGGTACTCCATGAGTGCTTTGTAATATTGTTTTCCAAGCTGACTGTTACAGATAAAAGCAATTCTGTTCAGTTTTTTTGATCATCAAATACTGTCATAGATACCAACTGTGACAGTTGCTTTTGGAATGGTTAGTCACAGGAGGGTATAGATTAAGCTTCCAGATGTATTTCATTTTGGATATTAACAAGCTCATCTGCTTGTAACTTTTGCCACTAACAAACAAGCTCAACTCATGCAGAACAATGCCCTAAATTTCAGGAATTCTTTACCTTTTTTCCAAAGCTTCAAGACCTGTAAAGAAAAAAGGATATTAACAGAAAACTGTTTGCATAGCATGCCTCTTATCTCAAATAACCTGAAACTCTTTACTCCTTTATTAAAAGAAAAACTGAATTATCTGGGAGTTCAGACTTTATGATGAGCATTGACATTTAACTCTTCTTCCTTTGTGACCAAATGACAATTTTACTGTAACTACAGTATACCAGGTTTCAGGCACATCTGTCTGAAACTGGAAAAGTTACATGAATTCTTCTAATATGAGCAAGTATCTTAGGCAAATACTCAATAGCCACAATGCCTATTCCAGCTAAATTTGTTCAAAAAGGAATTTAAAGTGGCAATACTGTCACTGAAAATAATAAGATAACAAACACTTAACTCGACATATTTATTTTTCAAGGTCAATAAATAAATGTAAATACACAAATTTGGAAAAATCTTAGTAACAGAATGTTTTTAAACAACATTCTGGCTTAAAGTCTTTGTTATTGACACTATTGGAATATTTTCTGATCTGCTTAAAGTAGATAAGTCATGTTGGTGATCCTCCATCACATTAATTTGTTTGAAGAAGTTAGGCTGCTGCAAAGGAAAAAAGACGTCAACCTTTGCTTTGACATAGAAAATTATCTGAACTGCATACATTAAGTATTAAAATTACTTTTCTGGGCATGACTTTTCTAGAGAATAGAGAAATTTTTAAATTTACAGTTTGAGTATCAGACACCTCCTACTGGTCATTACTTCATTATTATAAAAGGGAAATTGTAACAAAAGTGGAAAAAATCAAACAAACAAGAAAAAGGCATGGAAGAAAAAAGTTATACAAACTGGCCTTTTAGTTTATAAGACATTCTTCCTTTATCTGTCTAATTTTCATTCTAGGTTTGTAACATACTTATGTGATGACTGCTTCCCATCACTGCAGCAAGACTGCTTGAAATAACTGTAAAGCAGCTTTTTACCAGTGACTTTGTGTTTAGACACCCTCTCTCTTACAGGCATTCTCCAAACCCCTGAAACCAGGAATGTCATATTCCACCTGGCTGCCTTATCTTTCCCAGATTATCGCATTCTAATGCACTTACCCAGGCTTAGAGCATGAATACAGAACTTGTCCAGGAGAAGCAGCCTTTTTCAAAAGTATCTATAAATTGCTAAATAGAAATTTTTTATCAAAAAGGTTCAGCAAGAAGGTATTTGTTATTCACTTAATGGAAGTGGAGGAAGATTTGTGGTTCCCTCAAAATTCAGCAAGTGTTCTTTTTCTGTATTCTATAAATACTACAAGACGCAACATGTTTATTTGGTTCCCATAAATTAGAAAAATGTGGTTTCCAAAAATTCTAAATTAGTGATTTAAAAAACAAAATATTACACCTGACCACCTTTCCAAACAATCTTAGAGAGCAGCCTAGCTTCTCTCCCACCCTTCAGAAGTGTGCTTTTTAAGGATACATCATTTATAAAACAAACAAAAAAAAGTGTTTTAACTACAGTACACCTGCTTAAATATACAAGTGGACATGTTAACGTCATGTTAAAGTTCAAGGTACTTCTGGAAAAAAGGCAGATAGTTAGTTATTTTAACTCTGCATTCTTACATAGAATAATGATTATTATAGACCTTAGTTTCCTCTCATCATTCAACTATCACATGGAGAGGTCAATAAATAAGAACTTATCTGGTCCAGTTTACCTACAAGAGAAAAAATACTAAAAGAAAAGGAAGTTACCTATAAAATTACTTGTTTAACCCTGATAACATCTGAGTTGCCATACCCAGTTTGTAATTGCAAGAAAAGCAAACAATATTTGTCTTGCTTATTAATAAATGCCCCATTTTCTATGACAATTTTTTGTATGATGCCTATCAAGTCATGTATTCTTGGGGCAAGAAAGCTGGCCAGGAGGTGCAATGATAGCAGTAACACAGTATAAATCTGGGTTCAGAAAACCAAACATACCAGATCCAGAAGCAAAGAAATCTGGACACATTGAGGAGGCAGTGCCCAGCTGTTATTCGGGCTCTTGTGTCATGAAGACTATACCCAGGCTAAGATATAGTTTCATACCATGTAAGTAACACAGAATTCTGTTGTGCTAGTGTACAGACTTCAGCAAAAAGTCTTACACAAAACAAATTACCTCCTTTGTTTAGAGTAGAAGATAAAATAGCTTAATAGCTGATGTAATGAGTAATGGATGTCACTATGACACAAAACTTGCCATGATTTGTGTGTTCAGCTACAAGGTGCAATATTATGACTAACTCAAAGCACAGCCGCATCCAACTGTGGTTTGGAAATCCATCTTGAGCAGCACGCACTAGGACTTTGAAGAAAGTCTGTATGATTGTAACAAAGTCACCCATCCTCTCTGGAAACGTGAACAAAATCCATGGGGTAATCAGGCACAGGCGGCATGTAACGGGTTTGTCTTCCTTTTTATTCCTTGTTTTTGCTTCTGAGGACATGCACTTGGCTCCGGACTAAATCCATTTTCTATTACAAGAGAACACAGCTGTTCTTCTCTTTTTCTCTCTCTTTCTCTCGAGGCTCTTTACGTTTGCGTTCATTACTCCCAGATTGTCTTCCACTTGCTGGAGAAGCAGCACCTTGCACCTGCTATGTAAAAAAAAGTTTGAATAAGCCAAACATTACTGTAGATGCAGTCTGAAGTATCACTATGTTCAAGTTCACAAACAAAAATTTAACTACTATGCAAACAGCAGAATTCAGGTTGGGTCTTTTTGCAAAAATACTCTGGAACTGCCACAAAGCTACTTATTTCTAAAAAACTTAGTCAGCTGAAAATATATGTCAAGTCCTGTGTGTTCCTTCTGTTGTGTCCACATACTCAGATCAGTTGTTTCAATAATAAAATTTGACTTCAAGCATTTTCTGGCACTTCTGTATTACTGTACTGGAATTCACTCCTACTTTCAAGAACATAATCCGCATTTCAGAAGTTGCGGAGTGAAGGTGTTGGTTTTGACAGCAAAATATGACAAAGCAGCAGCTTTTTGTGACTATAAACTAGTGAAGAACTTGGCAAGGGGGTTAGTATACAAAGGCAACACAAGTTTTATTAATCCATCACCTATTCCAGCTATTATCCATTCATAGCTGCAAATGAGTGTGCTGTTAAGACCTGTTAAGCAGGTTCTTCAGTTCTGCCTTTCTGCAGCCAACAGTAGCTCTGTGTTGGAAATAGCTACTGGTAATTCTATTAAAGCAGTAAGCAGTGGAAATGGCACTACTTTTAGTTGTCAGAATTCTTATTTCATACTTAATAAGCACATCAGTTAATGGTTCTGAATTGCTTCAGGCCAAAGATTCAGCCTTCATACAGATTATTTTTTACATTTGTAAATAAAATGAGTTTTAAGAGCCTGCAGCAGTTAAAAACCCCCTGAATCCAGAACACTAACTTAAATATTGCCTCTTGCACACAAAATTCAGTTATATGGCACTTTTTATATCTATGGGCATGAATCAGATTTTTCAAACATTTTGAGTGCAACTGCTTATGGGGATGGGACAGATCCGTGTACTGGGAGAAGCTGTTAATTTCTGAATTTGAAACAGGACTGAATAGATTTACATGATATCATAGACTGAAATGCCTAAAAATTTAAAGCAATAAGCTTCTGCAAGACATAACTTCAACTACTATCAAAAAGCTCTTACTTGAATGCCATTTTTCAAATAGCCTAAAATACTAGCTAATACAATCTTTCTAGCCTTATATATTAACTCATCCCATCATTCCAACTTAAACAGTATGAATGAAACCCTAATTTAGAATGTTAGGCCTGCTTTAAAGTATTTAAGTGGCAACAACTGTGATACCTGCACACATACTCCAATAGCATATTTCTTAAGATTCCTATATTCAACTTCTCACTTGCTGCACAGAATGTAAATACCGGTTTATTTATAAACGTAGATGTGTCTATGTAACTATTAAGTTAATCCTCTCTCAAGGATTCTGTAATTCTCTCCAATATTCTGTAAAATGCTTTCTTACCTGGACCTGGGCAGCTGCTTGTTCTTGCTCCTGATAGTACTGAGAAGCTCTCCTGTCCTCCTCTTCCTGGAGCTTCTTTGCCAGCTCTAGATCACTGATTCCTTCTGGGATCTGCTCCCAGTTGATCTCTTGATTCTGCTGCTCTTGTTGTAGAGACAATGCCATCAGATAATCCTAAACAGGAAACTTGTTTATTAATGCTCTTTGACACAGAGCAGAGCCAAGTCATATCAAGTGATTTTTTTCAGCACTCAAATACAGTTGCCTCATGGAAAACAGGAGTTTGTTTCTGAACCTGTTCATAACCTGAACTGCAGAAAGGCTGAAAACAGCTACTTTGCATTTCTCTTATCACAGTGCCTAGTCACAGCATACAAACCACAAAAGCTAATTACAACCCTAAAAGCAATTTTTTTTTTTTAAATTCCATTGTCTGTGTCTTCCTGCTGTGCAGGTAGTGTCAGCTCACACTGGTTCTAGGTAGCAGTAAAGATTTTGAAGCTGTCTCTTTGTAATTTGGTAGTTCTAGTTAACACTCTGATTCTACTTGACAGAGTATCTGTCCTTGCTCTACTGTACAGTGTTCAGAGTACATCAGAAAGGAACACTTAACTCCTAAACATGTGAGAAAATAATCTAAAGGTAGTTTTGGATATATCTAACCAGACAGCAACTCAAGATATTACTAGTCCCTTTATCTCTGCCAGATTCTTTATTCCACAAGAGGTAGAGTACTTGAATTTATTAGAAAGCATCTACGTACTCATTTTTCCCCTCAGTATTTAAAAAACATTAATGGTTATTATTAAAAAGATAAACTTATTTCGCTTGTTCAAAATGTTAGACGTCCAAGAATTTTTCTTATAGTTCCATACATACATAGAACAGTTTGGGTTGGAAGGGACCTTTAAAGGTCATCTAGTCCAAACCCCCTGCAATGAGCAGGGACACATACATCTGTCTATATACAACTAAAAATAAGTACCAATTGTTATATATAGTCACAAGCAAACTTGTGACAACAAAAGTCACAAGAAAAATACAACAGAAAAGCAGAAATCCAATACTTGATCTATTTGATCCTGCTGCCCTCTGTAGACAGTTTCGGGGTCTGATGGAGGCCGTAGGTGGAATTCAGAATCACAGAAGTTTCCATCGCCATCCACATTGTGTAAGCTTTCCCAGACAACTTTCTCTTCTGTAAGAAAGCCCTGGTCTGTCACTAGCAGGTAAAGCTGACCCTATGCAGAAGAATAAAGAAAATCTGTAAAACTAAAAAAATGGTTTTTACAATCTTATATAATTAGCAGAAATGATCAGCTAACACAACTGTCGCATTCCGGTAAACATTCATTTAGATTTTTTAGCAAGTTTACAATTTAAATGAATCAGTATACAGCATTAACATGTCAGATACTAGTATTGATTGCTAAATTAACAGCCACATTTCATTTCTGTTTTACATCTTGTAATTTTTCATGATTAATGACAATTCATATTGTCTAACCATTGATATAAAACATGAGTATAAACCTTGATAACTCCTTGGAAACACACCTAAGAAGTATACCCGAAGACTGGCAAAATAAATTTTAAATCCCAGGACAAATGACATTAAGTTGCAAAGGCAAGATCTGGAGACAAAGGTGATCTTTCCAAATAATCCAAGAGGCATTACTTCGAAGTGACCACATCTCAGACTTCATGTTTTATAATGGGTTTTGAAAGCATCTGAGGTTTAATTCATTTTTAAAAAACAAACAAACAAAAAAAACCCACCACCACCAAACCACCACACACTAAATTTAAGATTCTTGCTATCACTTGTCACCAATGACTGATTTGGTTGGATCTTAGCCATTCTACAAGGCCAAATTTCTCAATTTCAAACTCTGAAATTATAAAATGGGCTGGTCTGGGAGTGAAAGGAACAATCCTAACAAGTACAGAAGCCAAGGTACAGAAAAGATGAAAAGCAAACTTAAGTTGAAGAAATGGTAGAGGAGCTGAAATCAAAGGGAAATGACAAAAGCAGGCCTCACGTAGAAGGAGATGGTGCTGCATGATTGAGGGGCAGCAAAGCAGCACAGAAATCCCTGTTTAAATTTCAAGTTAAATTAGATTTTAATCTTTCCCTACCCTTTTAAAATTATACTCCAAAGCAGGAATGTTATTACTGACCATACAGCAGATTAAAACTGAAGCTTCCATTAGTATTACTGAACATACCAGATCAAGATATTCAATACAAAACTTGTCGCAGTGTTCTAGCTGTAAAAGTCAAAGCAGTTTATTGGGACATCCACAAAAAATTGCTATCTGTATTACAGCAGCACACAAAGGGTTCTCAAAGATCACTGTGCTAAAGATGTACCAAAACACAAGAGGCAGCTCCTATTGTAACAATTTCATAGGCTGAACAGGCAGAAAATGAAAATATCACCCCTATTCAACAAATACCAAAGCAGCTTACTGATTTCTCTCCAGTCATTAAAAGACTGTCTATAAGAGATGCTGAAATTAAAATCAGATCTCTTCAATCCTACTAAGTTTATCGCCATCCCTTTCACAGCTGGTAGGTCATTCAACCTAAAATTCTTATTTGAAGATTCACATGCAGCAATTGCTCTACTATTACCTAATACCACAATATGCTCTTGTACAAAATGCCAAACAGAACAGATAAAAAATCCCACAAAGGACACTACTATATGTTTGAGCTTTGGAATGGCAGTTACCCCAGCACAAGTGGGCTTACAGACATAAATACAATTGCCAGCAACAAATCTGATCACATAATATTATTTAAGGAATCATCTTTCCCTGAGAAACCTGCCTAAAAACTGAATGCTATTTCTGATTCTTATCAACCACCCAAAGAAAAGGAAATTATTTCACATTTTCAACTTGCACAGAAAACCTATTTCACAGCATCTTATCTATAAGAAGTCTGTAAAAAAAATAAAAAATTAAATCACAATCTTTAAGTGTATTTGAACCTTCTAAGTTTTACTTTGATTCAAACTAAACCTAAAAAGAAAAAAGCAGGGGCCAAGTTTTCCTCTAACATGCCATACATTTTGAGTTACTTTTTAAACAGCTCATCAACTGTATAGCTTAATAATACTGAAATAGGGAAATGTTAACTCTTTCATAATCTCTCAACTATTGTAAACTGAATTTTTCACACATAAATATAGGATTAGAATCTACTGTCAAAGATATTTTGACCTAACACTTGTTTGAAACGGAGAACTGTTTCAATCTTAAATAAAATTCTTATTCTTACTTTCTGTTTTTAAGACTTCCTCAGCTGAACTATACTTGAACACTGATTTTAAAAATGTCATCTTAAATTAAAAAAAACACCACTTTTTAATGCAGCTCCCTGAGGAAAGGCAATAAACTGCATTACATACCACCATATTACCTAAACAATACCATTCCAATACCAATTGCATAGTTTAAAACCACACTGCTTCACTTTAGCAAAATCTAGCAATCCAACACACACAGGCTTCCAAGTACTTGTAAAGAGACAAAGTTCCTTTTCCCTTTATTGTAATGAAAGAATAGGAAAACACAGATCAGAAATGGAAAGTCATCTCTCCATTCCTTTTTTTTTTATTCAAATGCTCTGATCCCTACTTCATATTTGTATTATCTAATGGAATTTCTCAAAAAAAATAGATTCCAGGGGACCCTCATAATATTGCTAATACTCATGTAACTTTTGGTAAAAATTGGACAACTTCCAGTTTCATATACAAAATAAGAGGAGTCAGCTCTTTTTGTATTAGGTGTAATGTAGCTACCCAGCTGCACAGACACCAGTCTTCCTAGAACACCACCGGTTTGGTTCCTAGAACATCAACAGTTTTGCTGCTTCTTCTTGCAACAAGCAAATAGAGGCCGTATCCACAAACTGGTTTTGTAGGCTGTTTTCATGCCATGCATGTGCTCCTCCCAGTCCCAACTGCTCAGAGGCCAGCTTTTCTGCACACCCAAATTCCACCGAGGGCATTTCTGTGATATGAGAAAATCTTTTTTATCATACAACCTTTGCACTGCCTCTAAATTTGAGCTGCACTAAGTAACGATGTGCCTGGTTCCAGGAGCCTGCCATCATTCCCCAGCACTTACCAGGATGACAAGATGAGTGCAGCTGCTCAGACAGAGTGATACACAACCACTATAACACTGGGATTGTGACTTGATGTGCCCAGCAGTTTTACACCACAATTGCAGCCTACCAGGGTTTCTGCACCTCAACTCCACTCAGTGCAACACACAAGGAGGAAAAGAGAAAGAGGACTCACAGTGACAGAATCAGTAAGAATTACTAAGTGTAGAAACATCTATTTACACTGAAGTAAAAATTTAGGAAGGAGGCTTTTAAAAAGGTAAAAAACAGAATGTGTTTTTCACTTAATAGATCATGGTCCTGATTATGCATTCGCTTTCTAATCAGGGTTAAAGCTAAAACAGGATGATCAGCTCACTAAGGTCATGCAATTAAGCTAACAAATCTACATAAACATGGTTTTCAAGTACACCTTGTCTGGAGCAAATGTCATACATTACAAAACAAATGTGTTTCTACCTTCATAAAATTTTAACTGGCTTTTTCTGAAGTATAACCAGCTTATCTTTATTTTTAAATGTGAGGGGATTTTAATAAATACAGCGTTTCATGGATTAACGCTGCCCCACGAAATACTAGCATATACTACATAGCAAGAATATCTACTAATAACTGTTGTCAATAGGGAACAAAACAATATAAGAAAGTCTTGGGTGCCTAACTGTTAAGATAAATTATGCCTAAAGTAAAGTTTTAAGTAAGTATTTACCCTATGATTCAACATCCAGATATTGTAGACCAATGCCCAGATTTTATAGTTTCACATATAAAAAGCTTGAAATAAAGCTAAGGATAAAAGCAATATTATTCTCCTGAAGAATGATCTCAGTCTTCTGCTTTGCACAAAACCCCACCTCTCTGAAACGCAGAGATGTAGGCTGCAGGTGATGTTACTGGCTACAAGACCTCCCTTTCTGGGTTAATTTCATGACCAGATTAAGTAATTAAAATTAATGCTTTTGAACTGCTTGTTCTGATGCCAACTACCAAGTTTCCAGCAGTTTAGAAAACTGAAAAGGAAAACCAAACATCTGTCCAATAGCTTCACACAGAAAAGACAAACATTTTAAGCCTTATCCTTTAAAGTCTACATTAATGTTCTCTTGGACTTCTGGATCAGACCCCTTGGTTTTTACACTGACATGAATAAGTACTATTAATTTGAGTTTAGTCTAATCTATCTGAATGTTTTAAGTTAGAAAAAAATTAAGATTTTTTTTTTTAAAAAGTGTACAACATTTGATTCAACAGAGTAATCCCCAGAATAAAAACTATACACTTACTAAGAAATGGAAAAATATTTAAACATGTTTTTTAAAAGTTACAGACATTGTCTCTACCAGGCCAAACTCAGATACCACCTTAAACACCCAAGGAAAAAGTGCAGTTATTGCTATGAAATACAATTTGTATTTGAATAAAATTCTATGCTGAGTTGTGAAACAGAAACCCAGCATTTATAAACTAGAAAACATAATTGCAACACTCATACAAAAATCCAGACAGGTCAGAAGCATCTTGTTACTTTTCAGTGAAGAAAACAGGTTGTATTACAGTCACGTCTGTGGGAAAAACATTCCAACTGAACTAACATAGTCTTACCAAACTGATCCCCTCTTTACAGTCCTGTTTTTCCTTGATCTAGGGAATTACCATTTGATGTATTTATTATCTGTGTAATGAAAAGCAAAGGCAAAAAAAAAAAAAAACAAACATCTTTAACTGCTGAAAATGATTACTGTATAATAACACGAGCCAAGACTACTAATATGCAATTAAAGGAACAGGCAGTAGAATAAGCGACTACTTGGGCAAACGGACAAATAATAGTAAAAGAGATTTAGAATTTGGTAACAGAACTGCCATTATTAACTAACACTCACCATACTTGTCGAATATATTACAGAATTGCCATATTTGCTTTTCTTTCATAAGTAGTAACGAAAGTTTTTAGTGTTACAAAATCCTTCTATAAACATGGTCTTAATATGCAAACTTTTCTCAAATCAGAAGCAACAACATATTATGCAAATTTCATTCAATTTGCAGAAGAATAGTAAAATATTAATTATTCAAGAGTATATTAAATAATATAAACTGAGCCAACAAACTATAATTGAACCGATGGTCTCTTCTGAAATGCAATCTGTGAGTCTTCACAATTACACTGATTCCAAGGCAGCAGCTTTAAAAAAAACACTGAAGTCTTTAGAGGAAGATTATTTCAAAACTTTTCACAGTAATTTCTGAAAAAACTCACTGCCAACATTCTTCTAATATTGTTACTTTACTCATCAACTTCAACAATTCTAAAGTGAATGCTCTATCTACTGAATGAGCCCTTTCCATTTAACTCTTATTCCCAGAATCAGGAATTTGGAAGATAAGTAAAAATGGCATGAGAGCTTCCTGCCTGAAGATTAACCTTTGAGAAGTGTCGATGTATTGACTTGAACTTGACTATTTCAAAACAGCAACAAATATTTTCAAATACAGTAAACTAAAAAAATGTTTCCCCCCTTTTGCTAAGTCAAATATATTTTTAAAAATAATATTTTAAAAAATGTTCTAATACAACTTCTCACCCTTTGTACATCTCAAAGCCCAAAGTATTGTCTTCATCCCCATAACTACTGCAGAAATGCCTTTTAAATATCTGCTAGCAGAGACTTAATAAGTTTTTGCCTACAGTATATAACCACACTGATAACTCCCTAATCTACACCGAGCATTCATAATGTTGCTGTATGTTCATAACTGTTCTATTTTTGGTCTTGCAAGAAACACTTTAGAGAAAAAAAGCTCACCACTTATTCTGTTGTTAATTTAGTAACAATTAAAAAATAATATTAAAAAAGCCATGTTTGTGAGGAATCACTGCAGTCCCCTTCCTTACAAATTCCTTTATTACCCATGGAAAAAAAAAAAGTAAAAAATCTTGGAGTCAATAGAGTCTTCACCTCTTCCATTTCTGCTCTAAAATGACCACAAGATTATCCTTTACTAAGGAACAACAGGTAAATATATATACAGAATCATAATGGCTGGAAGAGACCTTTAAGATCATCAAGTCCAGCCATTAACCTAGCACTGCCAAGTTACTTGTAAACTGTGCCCCTCAGTGTACTTTATAATATATTTAAAAAGAGAAAATATCTACTATCTCTAAAACAAGCTCACCAAATAGGATGGGGAAAGAACTCCAAACTTGTAAACTGTGCCCCTCAGTGTACTTTATAATATATTTAAAAAGAGAAAATATCTACTATCTCTAAAACAAGCTCACCAAATAGGATGGGGAAAGAACTCCAATACAACTTAAAAAATTAAGTATGTTCAACAAAGCACCACAAATATTAAAAATAGATCATAAAATTGTTATATGGCACAAATATAGAGCAGAATTAAGGCTATTTGGGTTTGTCTGTTTTAGTAGAAAAACCAGTATATTGAACTCTAAAATGTCTCTGATTTATGAATTTTGCTCTTTGATTTATTTCAGTACCATCAAGTATTTATTTTTCTTAAATTACTCATACCTGCTTCTCAATTCTAAAGCCAATTCTAAAATAATGTAAGAATTTGGAGCAGTTTCTGCATTTCCTTTGAAAAAGCTTAGTGATCTAGTGTGTTTTTTTTTTATTTCCTCCAGGAACTGGAGTTAAGATCAACCTATAACAACTTAAAAAATTAAGTATGTTCAACAAAGCACCACAAATATTAAAAATAGATCATAAAATTGTTATATGGCACAAATATAGAGCAGAATTAAGGCTATTTGGGTTTGTCTGTTTTAGTAGAAAAACCAGTATATTGAACTCTAAAATGTCTCTGATTTATGAATTTTGCTCTTTGATTTATTTCAGTACCATCAAGTATTTATTTTTCTTAAATTACTCATACCTGCTTCTCAATTCTAAAGCCAATTCTAAAATAATGTAAGAATTTGGAGCAGTTTCTGCATTTCCTTTGAAAAAGCTTAGTGATCTAGTGTGTTTTTTTTTTATTTCCTCCAGGAACTGGAGTTAAGATCAACCTATACTCTACTTTCTTTGAAATATAACATGGTGAAATTCAAGTCCTTTCACTAAAGTATCAGCCTCAAAAAATCCCACTGAACTTAAGAAATGTCCCCAGTGTACAAGTCACCATATCAGCTGTACATAAAAGCTTCCAAACAGAAGTTTAAGTATTGACTTCATTAGAATAACACTTAAGCAGCCTAATGTACCTAAGGGATTTACACTATTAATGATTGCTAATTATTATAAGAGTAAATGTTTCTAAAAATACACAAGTTTTATTATACACACGTAACTTATTATAATTCCTGTTTAACGTCAAAACTGTGTTGTTTATATTTTTCCATATATTGGTTTGGAGGGGGAGAGGGAAGGGCAATATTAGTAAAATACAAATTGCATAGTTCTTGCCCTCAAAGTTCTACACCTTCATTTTCTCTGGCATATGTTGTGTCTTCAGTTTTCCTAATTGATGGATTTTCTCCATAGTCCAGCTACTGCTGACTACCGCTCAAACTGCGAAGTAAAAGAAACCCCATTAAAAATCTGCAGAGCTAGCATTAAAACTAGTAACAGGAAAGAGAAAAGCAGCCTATATTCTACAGATAAAATTCTGTATTTACAATTCACGAGGTCAAAGTGATACTCATTGACTATATGTAGTACAAAGAGTATTTTATATTTTAAAATAATAGTATAAAAATGAATGATTTCCAGGAGGATTTAAGTATTTTACCTGGAATATCCTTTAAACAAAGTATAAAAGGGTTCTTGCACCTCTAGGTACCATTTATACCCAGAAAGTACATCTGTACTCCTTAGTATTTTCTTTTTAAAACCAGATTTTTTTGAGGTTAGGTTCCCCCCTCGCCCCATAATGAAAGCAACCATAAAGTGATGTACAGTCCTACATGACAAACTACCACCAACTACTGCAAGAGCTAAATTTAGAAACATGGAGAGAAGCAAAATTATACGTCTTAAAATTGTGACCTAAATGAGTTTCATCAGGAAATATAACCATTCTAGTTTTGATCATAAACAGATATATTCCATTGCTTTTTTATTTTTTAAACAAAAGATGGGAAGAGAAAGATCCTTTTTTCTGTCCTACTGCTTTAAGAGAGTATCATTGTACATAGATTTAAAACAAATCTTAAATGTGCTCTAAGAAGCTATTCGAAAAGTATACGTGTTACATGTCTGTAGAGTTAATCATTATTTATCAGGACTACTCAGAGCTTTAGCTCCGCTTATAAGTAGTTATTAAAAATGCCAAAGATAAGCACTGACAGTCAAGATTAACAGAGGGAGAAAAAAGGACTAGTACTGCCAAATGGAAAAGTCAGTGTCATTCACATGAGGTATATGACATTACTGTAGAGTGGTTCCTCAATGTTTTTTTTTATGTTACACCTCCCCTTTTTTTTATTTATTACCATTATTCTTAAGTGCAAGTGTACATGAAATTAAAGTCTTATTTAATAAGATATAACCAAAATATAATTTCAAGAGTTCTATACAAAGGTAAAAACTCATACGTATACTTGAGAGAAGTGTCTAACGTTAAGTACTATATGACATTGCAAACCAATGAAAAGTTCGCTTCAAAACATTCACATTCATCACTGAAAAGGGAATGATTAAATCTTAGGAGACAATTTGACCATTATGCCCTTTTCTAACCAAGTCAAATACATAAAAATACACCATTAGCTTAGTAAAGGCAAAGTTGTGTTAGAAGAAAGATGCTCCATAAAAAATTGTAAAGTTGCCAAGCCAGATTCTCCATTCCACAAAGGAATGAGTCCCAAAAGCATTAACCAAGTCATCACTTGCTTTTCATATCCTGGCACAGTCCTTTTGCAGTTCTCACCATCTCGCTTCCCCAGTTTCAGATTAAAAAATTAATAATAATTTCTTCCCTAAGAAAGGGAACCAATATTGTAGCTTATCTCAACTTCTCCACATGTTTGGTATTTTGAACACAGTGATGGAGCTACTTATCTACTAGCCCAAACATAAAGCAAAGTTTTATTTCCTCAAAAAAAGTAAATTAAATAAATTCATTAACCTGGTCACTGTCAATCACAAATTGCAAGTAAATTTAAGCCATGTAAGAAATATATGTCATTATACATAACCATGAAGGGAGTTAACACAGGGAGCAAACTGAACATTAAGGGAAGAATTACAAGAAGTTTTAAAGTGATAATGGATCCTGATATCTAAAATACTGTAATCAATAATTCACAAGTAACATTTGCCACAGACCTTACATTCACCACAAGCCACACTTGCATATAACAGCAAACTGGAATTTATTTCTGTTTCAAGACAGGAGAAAAAACAAGATTTGCTTTGAAACAAGAATAAAACCTGCAACAGTAAAGATAAAAATGTTGAATATACCTTGTATTTGGTCATGGTGCTAAAATGGTTGTTCCTGAAGAACACACAAAGCTCTCCCTCCTGGACAGCTGAAGTCAACTCGCACAGTCCATGGTATGTCAACTGCGTAGCTGTGTTATTTAGAAATTGCTCAGCTACAAATCCTACAGAAGCAATACATATTGTTATGTGCATCTATTACATACTGCCTAATATACAACATCAGGCTACAACAGTAGTATTTTCCTTATCTCCTTCCTACTAAGATGCCTCTGTATTGCCTTAAATCTAAGGGAACACTACCAGAGACTAGAAAACGAGTGGAAAGTTCTAAAACTTCAGCATTATAGATAAGACTCTCATGTTCAGAAGTGCTATATATCTAATATTAGTGATTTTTTTCCTTGTTATCATACAGTATATAGTTCATATTCTAATTACAGGAGATAATATGTAGCCAAGTTGAAATCTGAATGCCCACAATACAATACTTTTTCATAAAAGAAAGTTTTTTCTAGAGCTTTTTAAAAAGTGTATTTAATAGGTAAAGACAATGAGGCTGAGCCTTGGTTTAGAAATTGCACCAGAGAAGTTTAGAAGTCAAGCACAGTGCTGTCTGCCTGCTCAGGGAAACTTCAGCAGTTCAGCAGACAGAACACAGCTCTTCACCCCTTTATCTCTACGTACCCAGGCCCACATACAAAACACGTAACTAAGACTTGATAGGGTAGATACTCTGATAAAGCATAGAAGGAAGTTACCCACCTTCACTAACCAGTTCACTGTTGTCTGACTGTTTACAAGAAATTATCTTCTCCACGAGCTGATTGTAACTGCAGTTACCAACTGCTTTTACTATGTCAGCAACCTGGAGCATGAAGGAAAAGCATACAAAACAGAGAAGTTACCTTTGTGAAAAACAACACAACAGTGAGCCTACGGCAATTATTCATATGAAAATAAGAAGAGTTTCAAAGAAGATGTTATCCCTATAAGATACTAGGCCAAAAAGTTTTAGCCCAAACTGTTACATTTTGCTGTGTCAGAGCCCATTTTAAATCCTTAAGTTAACGCTTAACATCAAAAGCTGTTCATAAAGCAGACAGAGGAGAGAACGGGGCATCAGCTGGCTCAGTTGGCTGGGGGCGGGAAGTCCAAAGGGGTAAGAGAACAACTTTCATGAACAACACAAGAAAAAAAAAAAAAGATGCAGATTATTCCAGCCAAACTCACCAGTTTCCCCCTAAGTAAACAGTACCAGTTTACTGTTTATTAAATAACACAGTTAAAAACAAATTATATGTTTGTTAAAGATGTAGTTCTCTAATTGGTTCTAACACTCTCAGTTCTCAAAAGCAGTGACTAGTAAATCAGAATTAAAGAAAGGAGGATCCTAACCGTGCATTCCTTCCAAGTGTTCCCTAAAAAGTTTTCAAAAACAATGAGTAGACACCATTATCTGGCAGCTTCCTACCTCCCTCAGAACAATTTTCATTTACACAGTCATGAATTCAGTATAGGTCTTGAAAGTTACCTTGACTATAGACCTAGTCTCTGCAGTGTTACCACACTAAAAACCATATATAGTCTGAATTCAGTCCTCTCTAAAGAAAATCCAATTTTTCTGACTAGATTTGAAAAATCCATTAAGATAATCATTGACTCCAGCTAAAATTCCGAAACATCTCCTCCTCCCCTCAGTAAAATTCAGAATAATTTATTTTCTATTTGAATTATTGAAAAAAAACCAAACAGATTTACCTGAGGATCCACTAACCATCCATGGTACAAAGGGATATCAAGAAGATCAAACACTATGCATTCAGGTGTGTATTCAAATACTCGTACACCTGTAAACTTCACATTGACATCCAGACCCGTCTGTAACTTATGTAGAATCGCCATTGCATCACTCATATTCTGACAGCAGAAAGAAAAAAAAACAACAGATGACCAAATAGAGCTTTGTACACTTGGTAATTACCCTTGTAACCCTTCATCATTTATTTAGTACTCCTTCAGTACCCAACACTTAAAAAAATTACGAAAGGGGAAATTAGCTACACAACTGTTTCAATGCGTATTCACATTATTCCTTCTCATTGTGCCAGAAGAGATTTGCAAAACAAGAACTCTCCCTCCAACCAGCTGGATCTGACTTGTTCTTTTACATTCAGAAGTTGGTTTTAGGCAGCTCCTACTTCTTTTAGCTCTACTTCCCATAGCCACAAGGCAGATGTCTGCAAGAAGAATTGGATTATAAGGGAATCTCTAAGAGACAGTCCTGAGGTTTCTTCCCCCTTTTTAGGTCCTGTCTTATGAGGCAAACTGTAGTACTTGACCCCACAAAATGAACGAACAAAACAGACCTACACATATTGACTTGCCAGCTCTAATTTGGGGGTTCGGTACTTAAAGAAGTGAGCAACATTGGATAATTTGATTTTTTTTGTTTCATAAAAAAATTTTTGCTATCTTATTTTGGGCATACCTTTAAGTGGCCTGTAGAGTCTACTGTGGAAACAAGCCATGAAAGTACCACTTCCTATAGTAGTGATCCCAATGGAATCTTAAGGAGATCACGTTATGAAGATCCAATCACACAAAGCAAAGATAAGCCAAAGAAAGGGTGCTTTGTGGACAGTTCTCTTGAACCAACAGACAAGTAAGTTTCCTGACACGCAGGAAAAAGAATTTTCCACCAAGTGAGAGGAATCCACAAAGAATATAATCAGAGAGTGTTTGCAAAAGATTCAAGGAAACTGAGGCGCTTGTTTGTTTGAGGTTTTGTTGGGGTTTTGTTGTTGTTGGCTTAGTTTTGCAATACTCTGTTGCTTAAGAGTAATTCAGAATTGCAACAATGAGGAAAAAGCATGACAAAGAACAGAAATACATATTGGAAAGGAGATGGAGACAGGAAAGATTCACAAACTAAAACCATGATTGTTAGAGACAGTTGCCTTTGTGTGGTCTTTTAATAATAAGACAGTTAACAGCAAGAACCACAATTAACGTAATCAATAAGGGAAGACAAAAAACTGAGAACAAGGACAACTGACTAAAGGATGAATAATGAGAAAACTATAGAAGTGTTAGGTAGGCTAACAAGGCATAAGTGGTGCACACAGCAATGAGTTATTTTATCAAATTAAAAGCAACGTGCTGAAATGCAGGAAAATTACAAATAACTGGATCCATTAAACAACAACAATAGCACTATATTAATTTGAACATTCACTTCTGCAGCACATTAGCACACATTGACAAGCAGAACGCCAACACAAGCCTGCATATTAGAACATAAGACAGACCACAGTATATTTAATAAGTCAGTTTAAGAAATCAGTCTATACATCTTGTAACTTGGTATTGTAAACAATGTACCAATTAAAACATACAACATTCACTAAGTAAACACACTAAGTGAAGTAGCTACATCATTCAATACACTTCATGATCCAATTCAAGATGCAAGCACAGTTCTGCATCTGTTGGAAAGATGAATGTTACCTAGTTCTTACAAAATGTTTTAGAGATCTTTCAAGCACGCAACAGAATTCTAAAACAAAACTTGTATGTAAAAATTGTGTAAGCAGACATACACGTATAAAATAGTCTCCCTACAGATCTTTGCACAACACTTTACACATGCAACAATGTGGTTTCATGAAGACACAGAACAAAAATTTTGTGTTCACCAACCTCAGGCCTTTTAGCTGAAGCAATTAAGCTACTCCTCTTACTGGTATGCAAGTTTAAATGCACTTTTTTTTCTTAATAAAAAACAATAGAACAATAAGCTTGTTCTTACTCCAAGTGATTTCAGTTTAGATACAACATCTGAAAACTCCTAAAGTGAGTTTATAAACAGACTTACTTCCTTGTTATTAAGCTGATTTAAACTCCCAGAAGAGTCAAAGCTTACTCAGAAAAAGCTTATAAACCACTTGACAAAGCATAGGTATAAAACACTCTCTGATCATTATCCAGTATCTACGCTTGAGAGCAGTTGCTATGAATAAGAGAGTTTTACTGCTTGTAGCCCGTTAACTGCACTGTTGCATGAAGTTTCTATTACCAGGAAGGTAACAGCTCCCACTTCTTTACTACATGTTGCATCATCCTTTTGACAATTTTGCTGCATCATAAGATTTAGAATTTAGCAAGATTTATAAGTAATTCTCAGGATCTGGCTCTTTGTTTTTTTAAGTTTTTATCATTATAATGGCAAACCAAACCACCTTACTTAAAAAGTTAATTTAATTAGTAGGGACCAGATATCAAATATAAAAACCTATCCAGAGGTGTTTTGGAAGAAATAATGCTATACTGTTACTCTGCTAAATGAATAGGAAGAAAGTCTATAGCAATTCAGCACTAGCCATCCACAAATTCAGATCACACATCTACAGACATGCGCTGAATTTATTTTGTAGTGTTTACTTAGTAAAGAAAAAAAGCATGAATACATCAAACTGTCCAAAAAACTGCAGAAGTTTCTCACTGCAATTTGAACAGTATCATTTTTATTTTAGCTCTTTCCACACCTTCAAAGTGCAAGCTTCTGAAAAAGTGAATGCAAATAAGCAAGAATATACAGAACAGCTGAACTTGAAAGGGACCTCTGAAAGTCATCTTGCTCACACCCACTCCTCAAGCAGGACCACCAAGAGTCAGCTGTTCAGGACCATGTCCAGCCAGCTTTTGAGTATCTCCAAGGATGGAGACTCCGCAAGGTCCCTGGGCAACCTGTTCCTAAGCTTGTGCATTAAAACGTCCGCTTTTCTTTCTTTAACCTCAACTTTAATTCAAATAATTCAATCCGTCACATATGTTAAAAAAAAAGAAGAAAGTTGCAGCTGAAATGAGTAACTTGTCATGATGTTGAAATTACATTAAAATCAAGCATTACAAATCCAGCTGTCGCAACGTCCCTGGGCAACCTGTTCCTAAGCTTGTGCATTAAAACGTCCGCTTTTCTTTCTTTAACCTCAACTTTAATTCAAATAATTCAATCCGTCACATATGTTAAAAAAAAAGAAGAAAGTTGCAGCTGAAATGAGTAACTTGTCATGATGTTGAAATTACATTAAAATCAAGCATTACAAATCCAGCTGTCTGAAAGATTTACTTGAATTTCTTGTATAAGAAAATACATTGGCTTAGGCAAAGAATATTAACTGTGTGACATAACCACAAAATTATGATTAACACCACAACTTAGTTCCAAAGCTTCTGAAATGAAATAATTTTCTAAGACTCAGTTGCCTAATGAGTTGCTTTTTGCCCTCAGGTGATATCACTCATGCATCTACAAGTACATTTAGAGCATTACTAGGACAGGAGGTTTCTTTAAAATTGTACAGTTAAATATTTAAGGACAAGGTTTGTGACATTTACATAGTAAACCCATATATCTAAGCACAAGAATGCCATAGAGGTTGTAGTTTAACCAGATATATAGTTTTCATCACCCTCCTGTAAATTCATGATGGCTATAATCTTCTACAGCACAAAATTGTATGGAAAAAGTTATAGCTAATTGCGTTATTATGGAAATAATTCATAACTTGTATCCAAGTCATATTTTGGATAATCATTAAAAGAATCCACATTCAATCTTCATTCTAGTTTCAACCATCCCAAGACACTCAATTTGGTTTCCAACACTGAACGAGAGCAAAAAAAAAAGAGATGACCTAATAATAAATAGAACTCTCACAAAACCTAACACATAATAAACTCAAATTATTTTTCTATGAGTAATCAAAAAAAAAGCTGTGACCACAGAGCTTAAAAAATTTGTTCCAATATACAGTACATCAATATTTTTTTAAACTAACCGTATTATCTTTAACATAGAAAGACTTCTGTAATGACATGAGAGTAGTGGTCAGTCCAAATAATATTGCCTTTCACGATATGGAATCAACCTCTTTTTTGTCCAGAGATCTCTTTCTTGCTCACTTTACATCCTCAGAGAAAGTCTAGCAGGCATCCACAACAGAGCACACTGAGGACACATAATAGAAGACTTCAAAGAGCTACCACCCTGTTATATACTTCCATCTGTACTTCCCCTGTTATAATTCCTCAAAACCAAAACTTATTGCAGCTAAAAAAATTAAAATCATTTCTTATGTTAAAAGATACTGAGTTTTTCTTCACTAATAGGAATTTTGTATAAATGATACTCTACTTCAAGCCTAGAAAGAAAGGAAAAACTAACTGTAACCAATGGTTTGTATACTTCTGGTTTTTAACAAGATGATAAACCTTAGGTGAGAAAAAAATTTTAGTTCCTTCAGACTTAACCAATTATGTTTTAGGAGCAGCTCCTTACCTGCTCATAATTTACACGCTGAATTTCAGATATCTCTTTAGGCTTTGCATCAAGAATATAGTCTCCTAAAAAAAAAAAAAAAGAAAATAAAATTAAGTTTATTCCACACTCAAACCTTCAACACTTCTGTGAACACTTCTGACTGAAGCTGACTGATCACAAATACCATCACTGAAGTTTTCTATCAAATTAATGATATCACATTGTTTTATATCCTGAATTATAATTATGGAGTAAAATAAGAGTACAAAAACCATAATAAGAAATAAAATTTGATTGGTCAATGTTGTTACTAAAGCAGCTTTTCATTATCTCTTGGAGTATCCTATCCATCTCTTAATTATTCAGAAATTGACCTCCCTCTGTGCCTCAACTTACAACATATAAGAAGGTCAAACTGTTCACAGTAATACAATTTAAAGATGCAACCACTTATTCTGACTGATACTATGAATATTTTGGCATATGTTTCCATACAACCAGTAATTCTGAAAGGCTTGTATTCCACCTATGTCTACAACACAAAGGCAATCAATCCGTTAATCAACACACTGGGGTTCAAAATTTACAAAATTTTTAGTGACTAGTATCCATAAACTGCCTCTCCCAAATTTTTCAGATTTTATTTCAACGTTTTTCATATTTATTCCCTTGCATCATTCGTAAAAAATATGTTACTACTCAAAGAAAAACATAATTACAGGCTTCATAATTTATAATCTTTTAAGTTAAGATTGTTCAGAGTGGCCAAAGGACTTTTCTTTTTTCGTTTTCCTTAAGCTGTAGAAGAACCATTTGGCAACTGCTAATCCTGTCAACTGAACAGGAACCTAAATAATTTCAGCAGGTAATTGTTATTCAATTTAATAAGATAATTCAAGAAGTTAATACATGCCTTCAAGAAAGAATACACACATTGTGGCAACTATGATTATGCAGTGACTTAACACAGTATTATTCTATCAATACAACTAAAAGAAATGTTTAGACACAAGCAGAAAGATTTCTTAAGAATTATTTTTTTTAAATTATGCAATTAACTTTTTTCTTCTACTGAAAGCAATATTCTTTTGAAAAGAATAAGCTACATTCTTTACAAGCAAAAAGAAAGAAAGAAAATATAGTAGGTGGGGGTTTTCTCCTGCTCAAGAACAATGAAACTTAGTGTATTAAGCTCAAATCTTTTACATTTGTTAGGCTGCAAGGTAAACTGAGGCACATAAAACTTAAGTACTAGCCCAGCTGCACTTTTAACACCTGGCTCATTCTGGGCTACTGAAGTTACAGACTTGTCAGACAAGAACGGCTGCAGTTCTGCTGAACACCCAAACTGATAAGGGAGTAGTGCCTGCAAATGAGAGCCCAGTCACTGTGACGACTAAATGAATTTTTCCTACCATTTTAATTGGGTCATACTACCAAGGATTAGAGTTACTGCAGGCAATTAAAGGCACACTTGACTTACTATATTCTGTTAACTATAATAGAACAACATTGTTAAGAGACATGCCTAAGTTTAAACCTACCAAAGCATCGGTGTACTAACCCACACCAACTGCATCACTAGACTAACCACTTAGGAGAGCAGGACAGAAAACCTCTAAAAGCAATTAAGGAAAAGCATGAGTAACTGAATATCATCAGTATTTTTCTTGAAGCATGCATTCAAGTAAAGCTGAATAAAAAAATACTAAATAAATAGAACAGTTGTCCTATATAACTACTCACTAACAAGTATAATACATAATTGAAAACCATTTATTGTAATTACTAACCTAAGTATTCCATCAGCTGTTCGGCTGTTATGATTTCCATCATTGGTGGCAGTTTAATCTGTGAAAGTAAAAGTAAATTCTCTTTAAAATGTCAAAAGCACTACAGTTTAGAAAATATCAATAAGGTATTTCCAACATGGAAGCTTTCTGAGCACATTCACCTCACCAATTCATAATTAGCATACCGGGACCAACAACATTCCCAGGACCTCTACTAAACAACAGCTACAAGAAGAGGTTAAGAAAAAAGGCATTTTGGTTTTTAGAGTGACTGCAAGCACACAGTACTCTATCCCACTTGCAGCTCTCCGCATTGTGTTCCCTGCTCCCACCAAAGCACGGCACCAGCATCCCCTGGACCACAGAGGAGCTCACACCACTGGCCACACTAGCCCAGCTGCAAGCACCCAGGATGAACAAAGCAGGAACTGCAGCCATGCTTGGTTAAGAAAACTTCACCTTATTCAGAAAAGTCTTTGACTCCCTGCCTTCATTATAATGCTTACTGAGTCTTAACTCACAAAGTTCCTGCAAACAGACAAGGGGCCGTAGAGAGTGTGGTGGCCTCAGGTGCTGAGACAGGGAGGAGAAGTGACCTCCCAGCCTCCCATCCCACACCCACATTTCAAGGCATTTTGGTTTCACCTCCTACAGAGGAGACTGGACACACAGAACTTGGTGGTGAAGCTTCTATTCCCCTCTCCCCGACCTATTCCTGCCATCATCACCTGCTAAAAACAACCACCTTGGCAACCACCAGAGCCAGAAGCTTCTTATGCATTCATCTCCCCCATCCAGCATCCTGGACAGAGGTTTTGGTTGCACTCTTTCATTTACACATCTCCCTGCAGTAACAGCCAAAGCACAGACACACATGAAGGCACACTTCTGGCAATCGAAAGGAGTACCTGAGGATGATATTGCCTTTAACTATAGCCTGTGCAATTTTTCTCTGTAAAAATGACTTTTATTTTTCTAGGGTTTGGTTTGGGGTTTTTTTGGGTTGGTTTTTAAGCTGTCCCTTCGGTTTTTAATCTTCTCATCCCATGTCTCTTCAACATCTTACCCCTGAAAGTCTACAAAGCCTGGTATTTAGGATTTTAAAAATCAATTTCCTCAATACTGATTGCTGTTCTCCTTGACACACATAGAAAGACATGATGTGAGATTGTTAACTCCCAGTTAAGATTTAATGAGCTCCAACTACTTTGCTGGCTGTGGAGAGGAAGGAGGAAACAGAAAGCCATGAGAGAGAAGAACAATACATATCAAGCCTTTGGGATGCAGCATCCCAAACTCAGAAATACTCTATAGCAACACAGTATGCTGTTCACATTGTGATGCAGAGGTTTCCTTCCCCCTGAAAGCTAAGCTTTTTTAATAACTTTCCGGAGAAAATGACATGTGATTGGACTAAGTCTATCTCACTACTAATTTTAATCATATTTGACAAAAGGCAAATGTGTCAAATATATGGTTTTACAGGAAGTTTCATTAAATCTGCAAGAAGAAAGAGACGCAAGTTAATATGGCCTTGTTATTTACGCACTGGCTAAGAAACATGCCCATACCGGGGTCAGAATTGGCCACACAGCATATGCCACCCCATTGATCAACCCATAGATGCTGGACATAGAAAGAAACTGACAGTTCTGGGATCTGGGGAAGGAAGGGAATGAAAGTATGAACCATTAGTAAAGCAGGAAATTAGTGAAGCATAAATACATAAGGCGGCAGGCTTAATTAGTTCTGCTTATAAAAAAAACAACCTTAAAATGATATAAATTAAACAAGAAGAAAAATCAGTCATGCATGCATAGGCACATGAATTTTTGAAAACATCTTTTAAATGAGTGACAACTGATTGTAACATACAAAATTTCTTAACCTCTTTCCCAACACTTCTCTAAGTTCTACTCTACTTGGTAGGCTAAAGGTTTTCATAATCTTTGATACTGTTCATAATATTCATAGTGAGCATACACATAAATATAATATATTGTGCTATGTAAATAATAGGACTACAGGTTCAAAAAGCTGATTCTTAAAACTTCCAGTTCTGAACTGGAATCGAAGCCTCAGCAGCCCTGAGCTGGTCTGGTTCGTTACGGCTCCAAAGGCGAGCTGATGTAATGGCCCAGGACAGACTCACTCACACCAGCTATGCCTGAAGTGGTGCCGGGACTACAAACAGCACAAGTGTGCCAGTATAAAAGAAATGAAAATTAGCATTGTGCCCTCAACTATTAGCAGGACTACTGTGATGATTCTTTCAGGACTGAAACTAGCTCTTATTGTTTATTTAAAACCATTCATATCAGCTCAGCCAGCATTGCTTGGGGGTTTCTGCTCTGCACCACATTTGGAAATCCAGAAGTACGCCTACGCTACAAACAGCAGTGGTAAAGCACAATGACATGGGTCACCTGTATTTGAGCTCTACGTACTCATGGCATAAACGTATTAATGTTTCAGAACTTTACAGACTGAAGGAGGTATCATTTGCATCATTGGCTAACAATCTGAATTTTCCCTCACAATTGTAATGCTAAGCATTTTATATTTTTTACAGCAGAACCAAATCAAAGTAGTTTTACTCATATCCACAGAATCTCTCACAGTAGGTGAGATTTAACAAGGTAAATCTCAAAGTTGACTGCTAAATTAAATGCTAAACAAACTTAATGGATTACTTAACAGCGTAATTTTAAGGCTGGCATGTTTTGAGGGACCTTGATCGCACCTTTAAACCAGGCTAATGGGCTTCCAACATAGTCATAAGTATTTCTGAGCAGAGCTGACTTAAGGGTATAGAGAGAACATGACATTTCTTAACTGTTTGGAGCTTAATTGCAAGTTGCATGTGCTTAAGCTACAGGAAATGTACAACAGAGAGGAAATGGAAAAGAAAAACACCTTAAAACTTAAGAGAGAGAAAAATCATGAACCACAGTCATTCTCCACATAAATCAACAGAAGAAAACAACGTACACAATAGTAGTGAAAGTTGTCCATAACAATCTCTTATTTTGAGGGACAAGTTTTCTCAGTAGGTTTCAATGCTCAGTTGCTAGATTTTTACATTAGTTTTACATTTTAGGAAAAACGTGTTTCCTCAACTCCCACCCATTTCCTGTCCCCCTCTATTGCAGTTTCCTGGTCTTCCGCCCCAATCTCTCTTCCTATCTCTAGCTACTTTTATATTTCCCACATTCAGGAGTGGGAAACTAAATCTTTCTCATCCAACTACAACATGAGGGTACATTACAGCCACCTTTGTACTAAGAAGACAAGATTGGTAAACAAATGTTCATACTGAACAGCTTGTCTAGTACAGCCCACGCAGTTTCTATGCATTTGAGTACAAACTGGAAAACTGCGCAATATTAATTTTAAATATTTTCCACTGTATTCTCCCATGCTTCAGAAGGGCTTAAAAAAAAAACCAAATTAAGTTATATAGTCCTGCACAGAAGCTAAAACATCCAAAAATGCTATGCATATAGAAAGGAACTATACAAATTCCTAATGGGCTATCATTTATAGTCTCAGAACACGTTTGCCTAAAACATGTGAGTCCCCTGAATTCAGTGTTCCAGAAGAGGCAAGAGCAGCTTCAAGCTGCCTGGAGAAAAATCAGTAAACACTCCCTGCAAATACATACCTCTTGCCTTGCGGGAACAGCTTCACAAACTTACCACATCACAGCCTGGTAGTACGTGCTGCCACCCCATAACCTTACCATCTCGCCCCCGACCAGGGCTCCTCCAGCCCCTCGGAGCAGGCTTCCTACTGGAAAACCCACAGATGGGTAAGCTCAGCCCATCCTGCAGACACAGGGAGGAAGGCTGCCAAGGCCTCTGCTGAGCATCCATCGGAAGCTCACCAGCAACTCGCCTTTGGAGGCTGAGTGAGTTGGTCTGAGCAATCTGTGCAAATTCTGGCCATAAGGAGGTTTAGGTCAGTAACACAAAAGAGCAGATCACGTGTGACGGGCCGGTGCCAGACCTTAGACCAGGCACTGCACTGCAGACCCTGGTAAATCACACGGATGTCAGCGGGAATGTGCTGTACTTGGCTCCACTGAAAAGAGGCCATTTTTATGAGAATCTAAACCTAAAAATTTCCAACTAAACTTTTTTTACTTCACCTCTTCTTTCTTCTGCACCTAAGTTTGGGTACATCTAAGCATCAACTGTTATATAACAATTACTTACATAATTGTTACAATTGCCTAAACAGGTAATTCACACAGTTCTGAAAGTTACCAAAATTTTAGTAGAACTAGGCATATAGGGAACACAGCTCCCAAAACCTTCCATTCGTTGAGAGGACTGTGATAGAAAAAACTTTTAAAGATTCTGTCCAATATGCTGCTGGAATTATTCTCCTACATAAAAAGTCATAAGGACAAGATATTCCGTATGCACTCACTTCTCAGCAAGATTAATATTATTTATATTTGCATTACATTGTTTTTCCTTAGGCTTATTTTATGGTCCAAAACAGTTCATTTCTCTGTTCCCTGGACATTTCAGACACATAATTTTGATGTAATACTTAAAGGTTCACAGACTTCTTAAGCTACATGACATTGCATCCTACCAAAGAAAACACGGAGCAGAATTACATGGCACCCTTACTAAGCTTTTAGCATCTGATGATTGCCATGGAGTACAGCCTGAGAAGGGCTACACCCACACAAAATTACAGTTTAATGCAATGACAGAAGCTATCAGAAAGTGGTGCATGAACTGCACCTAACAAAGATCACAGAGTAAGTGGAAAAGCAAGCTTTGCATTGCTAAACTTAACTACATAGGGTCTGAGGAACACAGGTCTGAGGAACAGTTGCTCAGGGAGGTGGTTGAGGCCCCTTCCCTGGAGATATTCAGGGTGAGGCTTGACGAGGCTCTGGGCAACCTCATCTAGTTGGGGGTATCCCTGCTGACTGCAGGGAGGCCAGACTAGATGACCTTTGGAAGTCCCTTACGGCCTGGACCATTCTATGATTCACATTGAAACGAGCTGAAAGACAGTTGCCTACTCTACATCAGAGGAGACAACCCATGCTTATACATACCTTTTAAAATGTTTGTTTCAACACTGACCTCTGCTTTCATTTCCATCACATAAGCCTAAACAGTTACCCTGCTGGTTTGCACCACAGTTACGCTTTTGAGTTGGTACCACACTGCTTTTGTTTTCTTTGTACTTAGAAGAGCATTTCTGTAACACTTCTGTAAGCAGAACTCCTCAGCTCTATCTCCTTAAGGCTAAACAGCAAGTTAAGCTTACACAGGCAGTCTGCAAAAACATTTCAAAAGATAAGCCATTCCATAACTGTAACATTTAAAAGTACAGCTTCTACAATCTGCCACCTCAAAGTTGTGTGTCCAGGCTTCTTTGAAAGTAGTGGATAAAAGAGAGGTAGCAGTTTTATCACAGGCCAAGTTGAAAACCTCGTACTATCAAGTAGGAATGTGAACAGTCCCAATGGGTGCTACTATTTCAGAATTTCCAAAATAACAAGCATCGCCAAACCAATATCACCCAGATGAGAACATATAGATGCAGCACCCTACAAGAACCAATTCTTTACCAGTCTATATGCCTGTATCCCTAAAGATCTTAACTCTACTATCAAAAATACCTCCAAAAGGCATAATAGAAATGTAATAATTACTCAGAACAAAGAAGAATCTTGCTATGTTAATGAAGAAGATCTTCATAACCACTAGGAAGAAGTATATGGCAAACTTACCTAAGGTACAATACATCTTACGTGTTTTTGTTATTGCAATCCCTTAAGCAAATTAACAAATTACCTGTAGTCTCTCTTTACTCAGCGAGTGCCATCTCAAAACAACTGTTTTGCATGAGGACAACCGGGACATGTAAGCAGAAAGTCACACAACTGTTAGTATATTTAAAATAATACTCTAGTGTGGGGGCTAGAAGCTTGCATTTTCAGCAGCTGAAATACCTGAAGAGGATTTTAGGCATAAACATTTCAGCGATTAGAGCCTACATACCCTTTAAAGGCTTCCCACTTAGTACTAAGCAGTAAATAAAGATTTTGGTTCTAAGCAAATTGATTGTGTGCCACTTGTCACAAACAATTATGTGAATTCAACTTTCAAAGCTGCACAAGCCCAGCTGACACACAGTATTCAATCTCAAGGTTATCACTCTCATTCTGGAATAATGAAAGTATGTAATTCATCACACAAAGGGAATTGTTCGTGAAAACTTGAAAACTAGTATTCTAAGTATCACTTCTCAAGTTTGAGCACTTGCACATATTATCTGAAGTTATTTGAGACCACATCTACCTACAGGATGATTAAACTCTCAACCTTGTCAGGATAGAGTTCTGAGAAGGAAAGTTGGTGGCAGATACAGGGAAAAGGGTCCAAAACTTAACTGCTTACCTTCTTATTCTCTGTTGTTCTCTCGGTTTTATTTCCCATCCTCACCTCCTTCTTACTCCATTTTATTTTCTGTGCCACATAGCTTCTTTTCACCTATCATATACTGTGATATCCTCACTCTGCTTTAACCTGACTTCATCTCTTGGTCTGCTTCCTTGTTCCCAAATTATAATTACCTGACACACACACACCTGTTCATCTTGAGAAGAAGCGAGAAGAATGTGGCTGTCTACCCTCAGCACGTAGCTAGCTACTGTCAGCCATGTACAGATGAGCTGCCAATAAGCTTGCCACTCCAAACAATGCCAACATGGTTCTTGACTATAAACTGAGGAAAAGAAAGGCTAATTTGGAGAGCAACTAATTAGGAAAACCAACTACAAGCAGAGGCAATATACAACCAAGAGGAAAACCCTCCAGTCTATAAATAAGAAGTCATGTGATGGCAGTTTCACCAATTTAGGCGCCTGTCTGCAACTCATGTAAATTTTGCTGAAGTTTTACAAAACCAGACAGAATTATAGAAAATCCTTCCTGTAGTCCTAGCGATATGAAACAGCAGAGCACTCCCAAGAGGTGTTTTGATTTTCACCTATTTATGAAATCAGTATCACCTTAATTCTCACTAATGTCATATTTGATCAAAGCAGAATGCCAGTTAAAATTCTGAATATAGAACAACAAAAGAAAGCAATCATATTTAAGGAGGTGAAGGAAGAATGCTAAGAAACAAGACCTCCAAAAACTTAAATGCAAACAGCAAGAACAGTACTGTTTACATGCTTTTATTAAATGAAAGGTTAAAAAGGGAAATCCTGTAACTAGCCATTTATTTTAAAACACCACCACTCAGAATGATAAGGAACAGTAAGTTCTCCAAGGCCCTCAACTCACCCCCAGGTCTTAGAGGGAGCACAGAAAGTGAGTATTGAATACTGAAGTTGAGGACAACCTTCACGTCCTCTTGAGGATGGCAGAACCTACAGAAGGCAATACCTTAAAGTCACACACAACTTCCCTGCACTGCTTTCACCAATGGCTAAATATCTACATCACTGTACCCACAGCCTTCCTCCTGACGCACGAGCCATTCTGCTAAGGAAAACATGCAGAAACCATAACTCAAACAAAATCATTACTCTTCTGGAACGTTACCCTCCTCTAAACAAATTTATTCTTGTACTGTTATTTCCATTTTGACCTTTTCCTATGTCACCTGTTACATCCATAAACAACCTTCTACTCTTCTAATACCAAATTTCTTTCCCTTGGTACTACAATATAGAAACTATTCCCACAAAACTTTCCTGTTCTATGACTCCTTTCTATCAGCTCACCAACCTTTGGGGGTTGAATTGCCACCGTTTCTTGACAAGTCCCCTCTCCTCTTTGTTTCGCAATGCATGCAGCCTCATAGCTCCTCTCCAACAGATATTTCTTTCACGCATAGATGTTGATAGTTACATTATGCCTTACATTTTAACCGCCTCAATGTTAAAAAGAATTACTTTAAGACTACAGAAAGTCTATATCCATGATGGCTATTAAAATACAAAAGTCATAGGATCATAGAAACACCTATGTTAGAAGGGACCTTTAAGAAGAGTCCAACCATTAACCAAAACCACTGCCAAATCATGTCCCTCAGCACCACATCTACCAGTCTTTGAAATCCCTCCATGGGTGGCAATTCCACCATTTCGCCAGGCATCCCATTCCAGTGTTTGATAGCCCTTTCTGTAAAGAAATTTTTCTTAAGATTCATCCTAAACCTCTCCTGGCACAACTTGAGGCTGTTTCTTCTTGCCAACTTCAGAACTTCCACGTCTCAAAGCTGTACTCGATCACAATCTGATTTACTCATTAAATACAATCCACGCTACGTAACTGTACAAACATATATGTTATTCAGGCCACTACTTGTACAAATCTGTATTTTATACAATTCTGCCTACGCTTCATTACGCAAAACTAACCTATTTTCCCAAAATACTGCCTATGTTTCCAGCGCTATGAATAGCAACGTTTACTTACTAGAAACCTGCACACATCTGCAGACCATACATTCCTCAGTTTAGAGAAGCGTCATCCAGATGTTGATTCCTATTTTACGGCAAGTCTATATACGCCAGCAGCACTTAAGTACTGTACCGGCAACAGACTGCAAGCCGTCACTTATTTCCCGAGTTCTCTGTGCGAGATGAGCACTTAACAGCAGAAATAAGCCTTAACGAGCACCACCTTCCAGCGGTGCCTCAGGGGTGCCGTCCGGAGGGCCCGGCCAAGGCCCGGCCAGCCCCGCCGCCGCTCCCCGCCATGGCGGCGGG